GTACTGTTTAAAGACCAAAGATAATTCTTAGGCGTTGGCCACGTTAGAGCGACTGCGGGGAGCGAAAGCAACCGGAGTTCGGAGGCGGGAGGCGTGAAGACGTTGCTCCTTCTATCCTGCTTGTAGTATGTCACGTTTAGGCGGCTGCATGACATGTCGTTTCTTCCTGCTATTTTTGTGCGGACTGAAAAATGACCTTTCTAAATTACCATTTTCGTGTCTAGAAGGGAGTAGTTTTTTAGAGTCTTTCACAATATATAATGCAAATTAAAATAGGAGTTCATAATTTAAACTAAAACAGGCGTCAGTTTCGTAAATATCGTAGACTGTATGATGAAATAAGTTACTACACACAAATGTTTTGAGAAATATGATATTGTGTTTATAATTTTCTATGCTTATTAGACCATATTGTAGAATAAAAAATTATTTCGCTAATAAACATACGTATATGTATTTATGTTTTGCATCGCGGAAAAATCAATAAGATTTGATTAAAACGCAAGACGCACGAACACGTACTATGTCCTCCGCTAGTCACGGTCGCCTGACACGCACGCCAGATGCGCCAACGTGGCTGGCAGCTCCCGTTCGTCTATTTATTAGTTATTTTCCCGCTCATCGCAGACGGAAGACGAGTCGCCCTAGCGTGGCACACGACTTATTGTACATAAGTAATTCGGTCTAGTTTAATAATTAAAACAATGTTTGTGTTAAAATTACACAGGTTAAACATTGAAGCTGAGCTCTACAGACACGGTCAAAATAGTGCAACTCACATAGCGAGGGTCCATAGCAGAGCAGCTTAAGATGCGCGTGCACGAGCACGAGATGCAGGCGCGCTCGGCGGCCGCCCGGCCACTGCAGCAGCACGCGCTCTGCACCGCCCCACGCCTCCGCACCCTCCCCCTCGCCCTCCTCATCACCCTCCTCCTGCAGCCCTGCGCGCACCACCTGACACGCGTAAACAAAACAATCTTTTTAATTTAACAAATCCTCAAAGCTATTTGTATTTTTCCCTCTCATTCATGGTTAAAAATCAGGCTTACGAGCCTTAAAGTAAATAGAAATCAAAGATACCTGGATACTGTCAATTTTATTTAAAAGGGAAAGGTATACCTTACTGTAGCCCGTTCTTCCTACTAATTGACGGACAATACTCTGGCAGCTCATTGATGATAGAAAATCTATTCAAACTCCTAACCTAACGCTGTGTTCGTTTTAATTTAGTACCGAAAGCAAAATTGTGTTAGAAATTAAAATATAGCTTAACAATTATGAATAGATCAATCGATATATTAAAATATTAAATTTATCATTTAGAACATAAATTTTCCAAAGCTAGTAAAATTATAGAGTATAATAATTAATCTATAATTTTTATATCATATTATCAAAACCGGTATCTGGCGTAAACTCAAAACAATCCGAATTTCATAGATAGGTAATAATGAGCAAGATTACTATTATGAAATATTGTTATGTGTGATAGATCTGTAGAGTTACAGCATCCAAGAAATCTTCAATCTTGTTCAGTCTCGAGTAAAAAGAGTAACATGATTAGCGATGAAGCCGAGATAAAACTCACTCACTCATTCATTTACTTACTCACTCACCTGTCGCAAGTGTGCGTGTAGAATGCGTGTGAAAGAGTACAAAGCGCGGTGCTGCGCCATGAGACGCTCGTCGCGCGGAGCGTCACGAGCATCCACTGGTGGCAGGATACAGCTCGTCACCGTCGTGCGCTCCATCAGAACCTGGCTCAAGTCCTGGAGGACCAGTGTTATGAAGATAGGCTAGTAATTAAGTGCATAAACGTTTTATACATGGTAGACCGTTAGAGCATAACATTCTCACAGAATATCTGCGTCAAATATCAGCTTTATGTTGCTATGTATCATATGTGGTGTAAAGATCCGGAGACTCTTTTTACTGGAAACGAGTCCTTAGGAGTTACAACGCATACGCGTTTTGATTATCTACATTTATCCTTGATTAATAATCAAAACGCGTATGCGTTTTGATTATTAATCAAGGATAAATGTAGATGTTTATGGGCATTTGCCGTCAGATGTACTACATATGTGCTCATTTGTCACCCTTATTCTATATTTAAGGGTCGATCCTCACTTGCCATTCACAGTTCGTTCTCGATCTGATTTATTATATTATTGGAATGGGATTCGAAACTTGACTGTTATGGATAGTATGAATGCACACACATATTTTTTACTTCATAAAATTTTATCAGACCTAGATCGGACCGAGAACGAACTATAACGGCATTATAATGAGGATCGGCCCTAAAAAAACATCTAAAACCTGTAACAGAATAAATACAAATCGAATTTTATATAATCCCGAATGTGCATATATCAAAATTAAATTTGGTTTTAATCATTTCAAAGTGATTTTTAAATGCTGTTAAATTCGTAAAACATTAAGTTTTTGCAGTATATGAAACTAATATTCAAATCTAAACTAATATTACTAATTGTGTATGCCGTAACAGTTCAACTTGATGTTTTCTAATTTAAAAATAAAATTTGCGGTCTGCATAAGATAATCCATCACCCTATTTCATTTCGTAGGTATTAAACAAGTAGACACCTATGGGAAAGGTTAGAAAGATTTTAGGACCTCCAACAGATGGGAGAAAACCATTGTCTTTTCTTTATTATATTGTTACGAGCTTAGGGTTTGTGACAATAAAAACTGCCGATTGAATTACCAAAATTGACACTGATTACCGAACACCAATTAAAACTAATGCACACTAATAATTTGTTCCACTTAACACCTTAGTTCACTTTATTTTGCTCCTAAGTCTTCACTTGTATCGTTCAATACTTCCTCGGTCGCGGCCCGAAACGGCTTTATATAGGCCTTTTCCACCGAAACATCTAGAACATTCCAGCAAATACCGGTCCCGACCGACTAAGTGTAGAAAATTCGAGTGTGGAGTTTTTTAGAAAGTTTATTTCTTGTATTTGATAATAGATGGTGCTAGTGCCACGTACCAGGCATCAACTGTGGCGCGCAATAATATGTTATGTTACAGCCTATATACACTCCATCCACACGTCCCACTCCTGGGCGCAGATCTCCCGCTCATTTCTGAGAGGGTTTTAAGACAAGGAATGGTCCGCCGCGCTGCCGCAATGCGTGTTGGCCAACTTCATCTGTCTTCGAAATATTTTTTTTCTTATTTCTCAGACATGCAAGTGTATTCAGGATGTGTTTCTCCACCGCCGAGCACATGGTAAATCAGCGCTTAAAATTGCAATTAACAATTTCATTGGTGCCGGCGGGGATCAAATCAGGTTTGTTCGCGTACTGTGAAACTTACAACGAGCGTTAATCATCTAAGCTACCACGGCTATTATATGTGTGCTAAAATTACTACAACAGAGAAAACGTCAAACATGCTGCGATCGTCAATTCTTCTCCTAAACTTTGCAGTTACGAAAATAGACAGAAAATAGATAGAATCTGTGCACTTTTATAGGTATCGAACAAAACCTTCTACGTATTCTACCAGACGGGCACTACGGTACTACTACAGCCTAAGAAGAACACGATACGATCAGTAATGGCGTTTGATGTCGTAGGAAAAGTCGACATAAACAATCAATTAGTTGTCAGAACGGGAAGTAAAAAAAATCTTTATTACTTCCCGTTCTGACAACCACATTTATTTCACGTTTAAACTAATCCCTGTGTTATTAGGAAATTGATGACACTTTAATTCCTTATTTTTAAATAAAGACGACCCACAGTTTTTGCCCGTTCATGTAGTGTGAACTATTTTAAATTTGCGTGACAGTACTACCTTAGCGGACGGTTAGCGCTACGCCTACGTTTTGCCCCTTATTGTACTGTTGGTACAATAAGGGGCAAGTTACTGTTAGTAGTAGTTAGACTGTGGTACTGTATTGCGCACTAAGTTATGGTCAATTCTCCGCAACGTCTTTAGTCGACAGTAAGCAGGTGAAAAAACTAGTTCTTTGATTTTTAAACCGGGAACGTTGTTTTTGGCAATCTAACACAGATTTTGTTTAATGTGATTGAAATTTCTATCATTATTAATGTGCGAATTTATTAACGTGATTCGAAGTTTATTTCAGATAAGTAAGCAACTTTATTTCGTATTTACTATATTTACCGTGTCTTCTACCCGTCCGTGCTCGTACCGGCGCGAAACAAAGCTGTGTGTGACACAGTTATATTGTTTTGAATTGCCGGTACCTATAGTAGTATAGACATGGCTTTTGGTATCGAATGATATTAAACAACTTTGATATTTTAATAACTTTTTCATACATGTATAAATTAAATCGATTCAAATAATAGGGTGAAATTATATGTAAAATGATTCCTTACGTAATAACATATAATTGAATAGATAGTGAATAATTAGATTAAAGATGTTTACGAGAACGATTTCGATGTGGTCGAGTTCTGGTGCAGCGTCCACGTGGTCTGCGAGGAAGCTGAGGTAGGCGGCGACATGTCGCGGCGCGCACTCCACAAGACACGCGGCCCGGATGCGCGCCACCGCCTCGCCCCGCACCGCCTCCCAGTGCCGCAGCGACCACAGCAGGCTCAGCCACTCCCTAATAACATCTCACCACTCAGTTGCTGCCCCACATCTCGCATCGCACCTACTGCACACCCTCGCTGATATAATGCATTATCTTGACGTGAATACAACGACTACACAGCCCGAATAGACGCCTCATGCAAGGCAAACATTTTCTGTCAACACGTTAGACAAATACGTCTTACTTAAGAAAACGATCGCACGATCTACTTTAGAAGCGACCACTTCCCTAACCCGTGAACATCTTCCATGTGACTCGTGAATTTTCGACAAAATAAAATACAACAGACGCGCAACATGGTTCCCTGTACAATAAAATAGTGAACAAATAGTAGCCAAATGTGTAATTTAAAATAAATGGAATCACTTTTCATAGATAAGTGAATTTTCATTTTCAAATTCATTAATTAAAATTAAATCAGAGCTCAACCTATATTTGTCACAAACAACTCGCGTTGATTTATTCGGACATCTTCGGATATTTTCGGACTATGCATCCCTTTCTTTTCAATGCAGTTCATTGTTGCTATACTTTTCTTTAATTACCGGCACGTGTAACTAGTGCTGTACCAGTTTAACTATTAGTAAACTATTGGTACAAGTAAATATTATGCAAGTTATCGTAAATGTTTTCAGACTTATACTATAAGCGACATATGTGTAAGCGACAAAGGTGTAAGCCGAATTTTTTTAGTGAATGTACGTTAATCCATATTTTAATTAATTGATTGAATAATTAAATCAAATTATTCAAAACTTCTTAAAAAATTCTTAATAAAATTGATATAATTTTTAATAGACGGCACTCCGCTCTCTTTACTGCTAAGACGCCATGTCAAGACACATTAGTGTGACTAACGAGAACACAATCCACCTGATGGTAAGTGAGATACTGTGTGATTATTGAGTTTCTCTGTCAAGAAATTCTCAGTAGCAATTCGAAGGAAGTTGGCGGTGTTTCGCCTCCGCGCCTCGAAAAGTACGTAAAGCCATTGGTCCTGCGCCTGATATCTCTCCGGTCATATCGGATAGCTGTCATCGGATTATGAGAGTGGAAAGTGCACTTGTGTTTGCGCATACACTTGGGTACTACAATCCTGTGCAGAGCAGATGGCATGTCTCAGCTGGGGCTGGCTGCCGTCAGCGAAAATCCCCATGATCACCATCTGTCTTTGTTGTCGTTATTTTGTATGATGTTGTGGAGTCATACAACTCGACACGATATCCTGTCGCAAGCCTGTCGATCGCTTGCTTTCGGGTTTTAGGTGTCGCGGGCTGTGAGTCAGCCAACTACATTCGGCATCGCACATTAGCACTTGCGTTATTAATTTATTGTTTATTTTACAACCGTTGTACAAGTTTTGAATATATCCCGCACAGTCCATTCTAGTGGGCATTATTTAACTAACCAAGCTACGAAATTCTACATTATTCCTTCGAGCCGTATTGAACCCGCGACCAATGGATATATCCACGTGTCTGATGTTATAACGGCAGTGATAATACACGCAACTGTGGGAGGGAGAAAGGTGCTTTACAAATTGTTCATGTGGCTTATAGCTAATTAATTTTCGCAACTTTAATAAAATATGTATATATTACTCGTATTACTAAAATTAATGTTTGTAACCCGTCGAAATAAAATCACCATCCAAAGGGAACTTAAAGTATTGTACATAACAAAATTATTAAAAAGAGCTTACTCAGGGCTGACTTCCGCATTATAGTCCATCTCCGTGGTGTCTTCAGACTGAGACAGCACTAATTTAAGACCCTAGAAAACACAACATTATTAGTTTATTATAAATACCAATACCTATATTTAGGGATACTAGGAAATGATAATCGACAATAATTGCTACTTTGTAAATTTTAGTTCTCTATCCTCCAACCAATAGGTGGGATTTTGGTTAGGTTATTTTGAAAATTGATTTTTTTCTCATCAAAGCTGAGATTAGTATTTAAAAAAAATGTTAAGTTAAAGAGTAAATGTTATGTTATACGTAAATTTTTAAAAGTAGTTTAAATACACATAACTTTTAAATAACGTTATAGGAGAGGGGGCAAACGAGCACGTGGCTCACCTGATGGTAAGTGGCAACTGCCGCGCGTGACAACTGTAACACCATGGCAATTGCATGTGCGTTGCCGGCCGTTTAAAAAGAGTAGGCTTTTTTCTTGAAGGTCCCTAAGTCGTATCGGTCCGAAAAATCGCTAGTGACATGAAGAAGCTGTGCGAGGAAGAAAACTTCTTGTAAATCACACATTAGTGGACCACCAATCATCCAGGTGGTAAGGATAATATCTCGAGTTCTGGCGCGATGTGCTATGGTGGAGTAGAGTGGCTGGAATAAATCCGAACAAATCCTCTGAGCACTCCCCGTGAGAAATACGATAAAATTCGCAAAGAGATGCAAATCTCTTCGCAACGCCAATGAGTCAAGCCGATCGGAAAGTGTCGCCCTTATTCTTTTATAGAAAAAAAGTGCTCGGTCGCCGACGATTCGAGCCGCTCTGCGCTGGATGCGGTCAAGTGGAAGGAGATGGCACTGGGGAGCCCCAGCCTAGAGATGGGAATAGTATTCCATGTGCGGCCGAACTTGCGCCTTGAAGTTGCAGGCGGTGAGCCGGCATGAAACACTGTCCCGCTTTGCTAAGCACGCCAAGCTTTTAAGAGGACAGTTTGGCCTTCTTTTACAGGTGACCACGAAACTGCACGTCATCCAATATATCGAATTGTCGACGCCGAGGATTCCAATATTGGCTGAGGCAACAAGGGGAGTACCCTGAAACGGAAAAGATACGACAAAGGGGATCTTTTTAGCGCTAAACGCGCAAACTTGTGTCTTCTAGGGATTGAATTAGACTAGATTTAGTCGTCTCCATTCCGAGACTTTGTTCAACAATGTCTCGACTTCAGATACTAGTTTTTTTCCGGTACATAGAGACGTTTTCCCGAGAAATGAATTTGCACGGCCGAATTGGCACGGCCGGTGTATAAAGCATCACAAGTGCTGTTGTCCGCATAGCAATGAATGTTACCGGTTTGCAACATGTCATTGGTATGCAGAAAAAACAGCGTTGGTAATAGCATGCAGCCTTGTGGAAGACCTTTATATTGTTTTCAAAAAAATTTTCATCTAGTCATAACTTCAAGAAGCATGATTATACCTCTAGTTTTTTTAGTTGCGGAAATAGTTTTAGTAAAAGCTAAATCGTAAAGTTTAAGAATTCCGTTTGTTGTTGTTTTCTTGCATACCTATTTAAAATTTTAGTGGCATCGTCAAGCGATTAAATTTTTAAAAAGAAAATCTTGTTCTAACTTTGGAAATTCGAAGAAAGCCATATGGTGATCGTGTAGTTATGGCGTAAAAGAATCCACTATCCCATATCATCACGTGGGTGTCGTAAATGACGACGAAGGGGTAACGAAATAAGATACAATGTCATAGTGACGTCATTCACCGCTTTATTACGACCGTCATTTAGCGGTCTCCAATTTTGGAAACTGGAGCTTAAGCTCGTTTGTCACTTCACTTTTATGTAAAATAAAAAGAACTTGTCAAGAGCGGCGATAATAATAAATTTGGTATTTTATGACAGAAGCCTAGCTTACCAGATGTAGATTATTTACTCGTTGTTGAGTGATCCTCATCCAGTTTAAAATTCATAATCTGATTAAGTGGTGGCATCACGTCATTTTTCGTTTCTTTTGCGGCGCATGTACTGAATATGAGAAATCCTGGCGATTGTATGGTCCAATATCAGAGTACCACACTATTACGTCGTGGGTTCTGGATTCGGATCCCAGAGTGGTTTTACTTACATCCTAGTTGCGATTTTGTCGTGTCGTGCGTCAGAGCCTTTTACAAGAACACTGCTATACTGCGTGAATGTCACAAAGCACGATCCTGAGCCACCTGCATCCATCAATTTACTGTATGCTGTACTCCATCTAGATCTTTAGTAAAAAGCAAAGTAAGGGGATCGCCCCTTACTTTGCTTCCTGGTACGAGGCTGGCACAGATTTTACATGCATAAATTGATCATGGACAAACACCAAGAACAAAAATTATTCATAGACTGACAAATAGTTGTTCAGTGTGAGTCTAGAACCGCTTGTGAGCTGTAATGTGGTTGTGTTGTGACCTTGTCGTGTGTAGTGATATTGTGACCCACTTTGCTGGTGGCGCTGCATGCAGTAGTGCAGCAAGTAGTGACACTGTGACCCACCCTATTGGCGGCGGCGCGCGTGTGCGCGTGTGCGTGCGCGAGACGCTGCATGTAGTAGTGCAACACGGCGCGCGCGCCCTCCTCGCTGGCCAGCGTGCGGCGCAGATGCGCACATAGTTCGCCCGCCTTGCCCGCCTCGCCGCCGCCAGAGCTGCCACCACCAGCGCCAGCCGCGCCGCCCGCAGACAGGAACTCGCACAAGCACTGCACCGGCAGAACGCTGCAGGCAAACCAAGTCATCATAACAGACTAAACGTCGTTACGTTTAATATTGGGCATTTTAATCGAAACTTGACTGTAAAAAGTATAAAAACCAACAGTTTTTTAATAGATCGGGGGGAAAAGATTCTTCGTATTTTGTTTCTATAAAATTAAAGGAAAAATCTCTTTGGTACATGTAGGACGTCGGCATTTTTCTGAAATGTAAAAGGTGTCAATTAAGGAGACATGCTGTTGATACTAAAACTTAAATTCTACTGCCCTCACTTATTTTACCCTAACTCTAATAAATATAATCGTAGGGGTTTATACTACACTGCACCTCCTAATGACAAAAAAAACTTTGATATATTAAAAAATTACTAAAAATAAAATAATCTTACATTCTAATAACATACTTGTATGTTATAACTTTTCGTTTCGTCTTGGGTAGGGCGGCTGGCTAAACCTCCTATAACAGTTGTTGTGTATTATAGTATTCTATTAGTAATAGAATACTATAATACACAATAGAATGGCTGTTTAGCAATTACGTCGTATTATCGGTTAATCACTACTACAAACCTGATTCGCTGTGTTGACAGACGGATTTTAATACATATTTATTTGTAAATAGGGTGCAATTTGGCATTTTCTAAATAATTTGCATGCGAAATTTGGAAACGATTGTAACGTCAAAACACATCTCGTGTTGACATTTATACGCGTGAATTGAGGTCTTGTGGCATTTTAGTGGCTACACGGGCTCCGCCTACACCCCCGTTCTATTATGTATGTATTATAGTATTCTAGGACAGTACTAAATAATTGCGTAGTCATAATAAGTCTTAAATATATTATGTACGATATAATACATTATGTTTTGGGTTGAATGGTCTAATATTATATTCGACCAAATCAGGTGTACATTGATGAACGCATATTATGTATGTCGATTGTCGAAACATCACCGTAATAAACTTAGATAAATTTAGTCACGTATTAAATCACTTACCCAGAAAGATTTGGTCGGGGATCTTCTTATTACCGCATATTAATTGTTCTCATGTCCTTGCATGTTAATTATTTTTAATCTAACACTACTCTCGTTTCCTTTGTTTCAGATTATCAGGCCTCTTTTTATAACTCTTGTACGTACTTTCTTTTCTTTTTAATATTTTTGACCTTTAGCTAGCTTTATTTCTTTTTGTAATTCTATTCACTTATATACTCGTATTTATTTATTAATTAATTTGATATAGGGAAACTGAGTTTTAATTCAACTCATTTACGTTTTACTTCACGCGGATACTTTATACACATGGGGCCCTCCTTTACTTGGGTATTACATTTTCTACACATGGGGCCCCCATTTACTTGGGTATTACATTTTCATAAAATTTATTTCATTTTATTGGTACATAAACTTCTTTATCGTGCTATATCAAGGTAAAAGTGTACATTGAGTTGCATGCGAAGAACCTTGAGGTCAACGTTTAAGTCATTTTAAAAGGACTCCAACAATTGTCACGGAGGAAACTAAGTTCACACTGTGATCCAATGAAGGATGTGACCTCTATGTACCATTATTAAGGTTTTTTTTTACTTTTTATAAGTCAGCGCTTGACTATAATCCCACCAGGTGGTCAGTGGTGACGCAGCCTAAGATGATAAATCACACTGTATTAGCGTAACAAAAGCCTTTGCCTTGAAGACGCCCAGATTGTATTCGGACGGAAAGATACGCCCCATTTACATTCAGCCTTTCTGGGCAGGGAAGTGAGCAGGGCAGTGAGCAGGGCAGTATGTAAACAGGCTACTCGCGCTGACACTGCCACTGCCCGACGATCGCTCAAATGTCGGTTTTTAGTGCGGAAGTCAAAGGACGGGCAGCGCGAGCGGCAGTGAGTGTTCACATTCAGCTCCATCGCTCACGTCGCGCCAAGCGCCTGGATGAACGGGCGTGCGTGCCGTCTTGTTATTAAATAAGTATGATCTGCCAAATGCCTTTCGAGTGGAGTAACGAAAATACAAACAAGTTTTTAGAACTGCTGGAATAAAAAAAACTATATGGGATTTCAACGATAAAAACCATAATCCATCATCTTCTAGGACGACGAATTTTCTTCTTTTGAATTTGATATCTTTTTAAATTATTAACATAATTTTGTATTACAATAAGACACAACGCGGATGCTGTAATTATTTCGACGTCTGCCATAGTCGAAAGTTCGCAGCACCAGGGTAACAAATTTAAGACTCATCTGGTCCCCCAACAGCACTAATATGATTGAAATTATTCACAGCACTTGTACTGAAGGTATTGTTCCCTAGTACCCGTTACTCCCGATTTTATCATCCATGGAAACATACCCTGCTCGAGAACTATATGCTATACCAGTGATGGACGTTCCCGTATCGCCCCTTCATTTATTTATCAAGGACTTGACCGTATTCGTTACTTTTATATTATTTCATGCTCGACTTCCATAATTATACTAGCATGCATAATTCTTGCTCATAATGGGTTCAACACCAAGAGTTTGATATCATAAATAATTTGGGTGATCAGTCCAATATTGACGAAAGTTAGCAACTCAGTCATTCGTATTCACCCTTTTAAACACTCCTTCTTGCATTCCTCACACCTTTTAAACACATCGTTTCTAATTTTGTACAAAATGGAATCATATTTTTGTTAGTCAAAGTTTAATTCTGTTAAGAAACATTACTATTAAAAACTCTCTTAATGATTATATTCCTCTCTTTACTGTTATTTATTATTTTCATCTTTATGTGAATACAATTAAAGATTATTTTCTCATTTATTTTCTGATACTCATTATTTCTATCTTGATTGCAATGCCATTATGGTTAATTTTCGTATATATTTTAATGCATCGCATGTTGTTTGTTCACCCTATGTTTTTTTTAAATTTATACTCATTGCAAATTATACACACTGCTACTCACTGTGTAAAGATTGATCCTTGTTACATTTAACTTATTTAGATTTGTTTATTGTCTCAAAAAAAGAAAAAAAAGTGTTATTTTAGTAAGAGAATATGAAAAATTTAATAGATAATAAACCATTGTAAATTTAAGTACGTTAAAATGTAATTTCATCGTTTTATTTCATTCGTTTTTGCAGTTCACAGTAATAAAAATAACATTCTAAAACAATATTAAAAGTGACTTTAAAATCATCCGTGCCTTAATAAAAATAAAAGTGCTTAAAACGTACCATAATCTGTAACAAAGCATTACAATTTTTTTTTAAATATTTAAAAAAATCGTTTGAATGGTTAAGTATCTTATAAATAATTTCAATTTAGTCATATACTAAGAACATATCATCCAATAAAGAACTATGTAAAATAAAAAATAACACAAAATTCAAACTAATGTTTTAAATTGAGTTTAAGTCATACTGGTTACCTCTTAATTTTTTTTTGTTACCTTTGGCTAAGTTTTCATATTACTTCTCACTAATTACAAAATTTTAAATCTACATAGCTGTTAAGAAGTATTGCGATATGAAAACTACTACTCCTGAATTATCATTGAACTTATAGTTTGAATTGGATTTAGATATGTGGTGCAATTTTGCATGACATGGTTATATAATTCACTTAGACGCTTTGAGAACACTATTGTCTTCGATTGCTGCTATCGAAACATCCCAGAAATATTGCAACATCAACATATTGTAAAGCAATTTGACAACATATTTATATTTTATTTTATATAGTACATTAAGCCGTTTGTTGATTTATCTAAATATTTTATTTTATAGATTATTTTATAAAAAAGGTTTTGCACCCAATGTTACAACAAGTGATAAAAATAGTAATTTGTAAAGGAGGAGAGGTGCGGAAGCAGCGTAGAGATCAATACGTAATTATATTAAGTAATAAAGATAAAAAAGCAAGTTTATTGGAAGCTGCATAAAAAAGATAAAAAACACTGCAAAATCATTGAATAAAACTATTATTTACGGATTTTATCGCGTTTAATTACTTTAATTTATTTTTATTATTATCCCGACGTTTCGGGTGCTTTACAGCGCCCATGGTCACGGGGGGACCTGAGATGTTTGACGTCCCAATGTCATAGTTAGTCCGGCTACCTTCAGTTTTTTAATATTAATTTTTGGTCCGATTTACGCAAAACGAGCTTATAGTATCATGAAGTCTTGCAGTGGTATGCTTGGGTTTGGGTTTAATTTTGTTGATTATAGGATCCCAAGCAGATGGTAGCACCCAACCATCTTCTCTATTGAAATTTGGATGTTTTTTAATTTCAATAGCCTCGCGTATCATCCTTGGTAGGAATCGGTGTTCTTTTGCGAGAATTTGTGGTTTATCAAATCTAATGTAATGGTGGGGACGATCTTGAACATGTTCGCAGACTGCAGACTTCCCGGAGCGTCGGTGCTTCACATCAGCTATATGTTCCTTCACGCGGGTTTTTATAGATCTCTTTGTTTGACCTATGTAAGAGAGACCACATTCACAATCTAGCTTGTACACACCTGCATCTTGTAGAGGAATATTACATTTGATGGATGGTAAAAATTGACTAATCTTCTTCAGCGGCTTGTAGTATGTCTTAATGGACGCTCGCTTCAAGATGTAGCCAATCTTGTCCGTGACTCCTCCAACATATGGTAGTAGAGCAGGTGCGCGCTCGACTGTTGCCGGCTTCACTCGTTCACTGTGACGTAGGCGCGGGACCCGAAGCTTGTTGTCTTGCAATACTTGCTTGACGTGCTGAAGCTCCGCGGCCAGATGTTTTCTGTCACAGATCCCTCGTGCTCTCTGAAACAAAGATTTACCCACGGTAGCTAACTGTGAAGGATGATGGTGAGATTCACCATTTAGATATCGGTTGGTATGGGTCTTTTTCCTATACACAGTGTGACCAATAGTGTTATCAGGATTTCGGACGACTAAAACATCTAGGAAAGCTAAAGAATTATTTGCCTCTAACTCCATTGTGAATTGTATTTTAGAGTTTGTAACAATGGAGTTAGAGGCAAATAATTCTTTAGCTTTCCTAGATGTTTTAGTCGTCCGAAATCCTGATAACACTATTGGTCACACTGTGTATAGGAAAAAGACCCATACCAACCGATATCTAAATGGTGAATCTCACCATCATCCTTCACAGTTAGCTACCGTGGGTAAATCTTTGTTTCAGAGAGCACGAGGGATCTGTGACAGAAAACATCTGGCCGCGGAGCTTCAGCACGTCAAGCAAGTATTGCAAGACAACAAGCTTCGGGTCCCGCGCCTACGTCACAGTGAACGAGTGAAGCCGGCAACAGTCGAGCGCGCACCTGCTCTACTACCATATGTTGGAGGAGTCACGGACAAGATTGGCTACATCTTGAAGCGAGCGTCCATTAAGACATACTACAAGCCGCTGAAGAAGATTAGTCAATTTTTACCATCCATCAAATGTAATATTCCTCTACAAGATGCAGGTGTGTACAAGCTAGATTGTGAATGTGGTCTCTCTTACATAGGTCAAACAAAGAGATCTATAAAAACCCGCGTGAAGGAACATATAGCTGATGTGAAGCACCGACGCTCCGGGAAGTCTGCAGTCTGCGAACATGTTCAAGATCGTCCCCACCATTACATTAGATTTGATAAACCACAAATTCTCGCAAAAGAACACCGATTCCTACCAAGGATGATACGCGAGGCTATTGAAATTAAAAAACATCCAAATTTCAATAGAGAAGATGGTTGGGTGCTACCATCTGCTTGGGATCCTATAATCAACAAAATTAAACCCAAACCCAAGCATACCACTGCAAGACTTCATGATACTATAAGCTCGTTTTGCGTAAATCGGACCAAAAATTAATATTAAAAAACTGAAGGTAGCCGGACTAACTATGACATTGGGACGTCAAACATCTCAGTCCCCCCCCGTGACCATGGGCGCTGTAAAGCACCCGAAACGTCGGGATAATAATAAAAATAAATTAAAGTAATTAAACGCGATAAAATCCGTAAATAATAGTTTTATTCAATGTGTAGTGTTCGCGTAAATTTAAGAAATCATTACTGTAAAATCAGATAGAAAAACCAAAGAAAACAAAAAATATTGCAAAAACATACATGAGCAACTTGCTGAACCTCAAAACAAATCAAATTTCGCTGTCTTAACCTTATTTAGTTTCTGTAGATATTCATACTCGCTGTGTAGGAGCGGGGCATGAGATATAATAATGATTTTTGGTCGCAATGAAATGATGAAAATTACGTACCATCACTGCTGACGTGACCATAAAATTTTATACTCAGCAGTCCAGAGAAAAGTAAAATGTTTATAGTCCAATATAGGAAATCATTAAAAAGAAAGATTAAAAGAATAATCGACACAGCCGCAATACCTGAGCTCGAGCTGATCGTGCCGCAGCAGCTGGTGCAACCAGGGCATAGCGCGCCGGGTGCCGTGACGCTCAACTAACTGCAGCAGCAGGGCAGGCTGCCGGCACAGGAGCCGCCCCAGCTTTAGCTGAGAACTTAAGGCTGCCAAGGCGTCCGCCACTCCACTTGGTGGTCGCCGTGCCGGACCTAAGGGCTCCAGCACTGTCAACTGAAACAATTTTTATAAATTAGAGGAATATAATTCGTTGATTTTAAACAAAACACAGAATAATCGATCGATTGTTTGCTTAGCTTTATGCAGTTTATAGATAAAACAATCGATAGTAAATTGAACATAGATAACATTAGCTAAATACTAATTCAATAGATATTAACATTTCTTTTATTGATAATTACTCCTATTTTTATCTATATGTAGTAGGTATGTTCGTGTACGATATACAAAGCTGTGGTAGCTCAGAGGTTAGCGCTGGATGTAAATTCACGTAACGCACATTTCACAGTACGCGAGCAACCCGGGTTTGATCCCGCCACTAAAAACTTGCAATTGCTAATTGCAAGTTTTTAGTGCTGATTTACCACGTGCTCGGCGGTTAAGGAAAACATCGTAAAGAAACCACCTGCATGACTGAGAAATAAAAAATATTTCGAAGACATGTGAAGTTCGCTAACACGCAGTAAGTCAGAGCGGCGGACCTTGCCCTTGCTCTAAAACCTTCTCAGAAATGAGGGGAGACTTATGCCCAGCAGTAGGACGTATATAGAATAACTTTTACGATATACAACATTGTTAGTTAAATAAAAATGGCTTTTCAGAAATGAGCAAACTGCTAATACACCCTAACAGCAATGCAGTTACAGCAACTCGCATAACGTGATTGATTAAAAAAACTTAACCTATTCGAAAACTTTAAAAAAGTTACAAGCTTATAATTTATAAATTATCCGGCTCAAAGGACCATGATTGTCATTATAATCGTTAAACATCTAAATAATAAAAAAAAGTCACACAACACCTGGCTCAGCAATCGCGAGCTGTGCTCGGTAATGGGCAGTTTAGCATTGCTGGCGGTGGCCAAGTGCGTCTCTAGTTGCAGAATGGAAGCACGTTCAGCTTCCGCGCGTTCTGCTTCGCCAGCTGAATTATTATTCCACTCTATGCTCGGTTTGCTAGAATTAAAAACATTATATATATATATATATATATATATATATATATATATATATATATATATATATGTGTGTGTGTGTGTGTGTGTGTGTGTGTGGTATATAGGCGGATGTAATGTCAGAAGGTATTCTCTACCAGTCTACCCTGGGGTGATGTAGAGATAGAATGAAGTAGGTGTAGTAAAAAAGTTAATAACAGAAAACAAAAGTTATAAAAAAAACTATCTTATCCATCAATTCCATCCTACAAAAGTTAAAAGTTAAACATAGGTCTATTTTAGTTAATATAATATTTAATATTAGTATATAGTTTGCCTAGATGTTCTTTGACTGCCACGTTGGTCTAGTGGTTGTAGTGGCGCGACTACTGAATTCGAATCCCGGGTCGGGCGAAGAAATTAATTATTGAGTTTTTCCGTCAAGGAATTCTCAATAGCTGCCCGGAGTCAGGAAGTTGGCGGTATATCACCCCCGTGCTTCGGAAGGCACGTAAAGCCGTTGGTCCTGCGCCAGATCTCTCTCCGGTCGTGTCGTTTTACTGTCCCAGCGGATTATGAGAGAGAGGGAATAGAGAGTACACCTGTTCTTGCGCATACACTTGGGCACTATAATCCTGTCCTACGCCGATGGCTAGTCTCCGTTGAGGCTGGCCGCCGTGACCGAAATTCGGTCTGGAGGACATTATTATTATAGTTGGCCTCATAAGGAGGATTCCGTCATAGTTGCCATGTTTAGCGGGCGGGTTGACAAGCACAGTTGTTTATCATTTAGACTCGTTATTAGGAATACGCTGCGTTTTAGTTTCCCTCGGTCACCTTGTACGTACGCGTGATTGCGGTAAGGCCTATGAGTAATATAGCGCATAGCGCCATATTATAGCGCGCTATCCCTCCATAACGCATAGCGCGTGCTATGTAAGTAGTCGCCATGGCGCTATGACGCTATGACGCTTTGGCGCTATTCACATCAAGTGGCAATTAGTTTTAGCAGCAGTGCTGTTGGCAGTAGACGTGTGACGCAAATTTAATCTAGCAGCACGCTATTCATCGCGCGCGAACTAATTTAGTGTTAGACGTTGTTTAGTTAGTGTATACTATATATTTATAAGTGATCGAAGGACACAGTTGTCTGCTACAAAAGAAGCCTAACTAAAGTTTTAAATGTAAATAAAATATAGATACAAAAGTGTATATAATAGTGTTTGTAAATAGTTGATTTTTGTATATACAATCAATAAACTTTTAATACAACTTAAATTGATTTATAATTTATATTAAGGTTAAAATAACGTTTCCATCAATTATAATGAAAAATTATTAATTTTATTTTGTTTTAAAAAGTACATGCCTTAAAATTATTTTTAGGGTTATAATAAGTCGTAAGCCTGAAAAGTATGAAAAAGCGTTCATTGATTTCTCTTTACCACTTTATTTTATTTTAATCTAAAATGCGACTTATTACGAAATAATGTTCTTATATAGCGCGCTGTCTATCCAATGAACGACACGTAATGTAGCGTGCTTCGAGATATAGCGTGCTGCTAAACTTAACGCGCTTGCCGGCCTCCTACACGCTTTCTTATAAATAGCGCGCTATAACATAGCGTATTTAATAGCGCGCTAGAAATTTATAGTTTATAGTCTGTAGCGTGCTATTGATTTATAGTCGTTTTGAACAACTTTACCTATGAGTATAGGCACCGTGTGTTGTGGGAGTGCAAGTTGTAAAACCTGCGATGTAATACTGCTGTGTTTCGTATGATGAGTGCGGAAATCCGGAGACCCTTTTTTTACTGGAAACGAGGCATTTCATCTTAGTCCTCAGAGCTGACAAAGCATCTACGTTTGTTTATTAATCGAGGATAAATGTAGATGTCTATGGGCCAAAGCATCCACTTACCCTAAGGTGGACTGTGTGCTCGTTTCCAGTGGCGAAGCTAAAGCTCCAAGCTAGGGCAAGCCCAAGATATAAATTGATAGAAATATAGATTGTTGTTTTTAGCAGTTTTATAAAAATACACCAGTCTTGATCTGTCTCCACTCTTCAGTTTCATATTCAGGGTTTGTTTAAGCGAAAGAAAAAAAATATTTACATCCAATACAATACATGAACAAAAGTAAAACACGAACAAAGTACAAACAAACTATGTACAAAATTAAAAAAAAAAAAAAACAAATTATTTACATTCTAATGGATAAGAGATAAGATAAGATAAGTGGAATCGTCTCGCTTTCTTATGGAAAGATTTAATTACGTCCACGTAAAATGGTGAACGTTTTAATTGTACCAATAACTGTTTTTAATTGCGATAATTGATAAGTCTGAAATACACTCTTAACCTTGTGTATTATCTCAACAAAGTTTAAAGATTTCCTCTCCGATTATCACTTTAACACACTTCAATTTATCACAAGGAACACTATTATCCTCCATTTTCATTAAAAATCTTTTAAAAAGCATAAATTTTGAACTCGTAATATTAAATCGCTTAAGATAAGCACACAGAGTAAATAAATATTGAAACGTGAAATGAACTTGCAAACGTATTGCCCGCGCGCATCCCGCACGCCTCAGCTTTTAACAAATTTATTCCCAAAAGCCTGGTTTTAAACCTCTATACTAATTGCTATATATACAATCGTAGTTATATTTCATTATAGAATATTTTGCCATAGGTTAGAAAGAGAGCGATCGTCTTCTCGAAAGCCCCGTAAAAAGCCCACGCGAGCGAGGGAGACATCTATTAGCTCTATTAAAACTCATTTTTTATGACAGCAGCAGTATCGCTAAGGCAATACGAGGTCATCGGTCGACATGTGTCGAACAGTGGAGTGCGCGGGAAATTTGAAATAGCTTGAAACATTTTACGAGTTATTTTATTAGTTGATATTATTGATTGATATTATTGATTGATTCAGGTTTAATAAGGCAAGCCCGGCTTTTAGGCTTTAATGGAAGGTTCACCACTGCTCGTTTCTGACCCTTATCCTATAAAAACAAATGTAAGATGATGGATGGAATGATACGCAGAAGGGTGGGCGGGTGGACAACTTTAGCTTGTTACGGAAGTTTACGCATGCATGACAAGTACGGAGGACAGCTGTGGAGAAGTAACATAGTATACAAGATCTGCCCGGAAGTGAAGGCGTTAAAACAGAAGGGACGAGAAAAAGAATAAATAATTTGTAGAGAATGAAGTACCTCGAAGTGAAGTACTTCAGTGCAAGTACCTCGTGCATCTCTCGCGATTCGGCCCGTATAATAGTGATGTTGGTGGGGCCAGGCTGGGGTTTGTCGCCACTTACGACACCCACGGGACCACACAGTTTCATGATTTTTACATGTGAACTAATTTTAAGTTGTTTTTTTTTATTTTTAAGGGAATTATAACATAATACATAAAACACTCAAGCCTGTCACCCAAGGGGATGGCAGAAACTATAGACTTCCATTTGGCACGATCCTGACACACCTCTCTCGCTTCCTCCACATCCATATACCTACCAAATACATGCTAGTCGGTTAAGGGTACTCTTAATTTGGCTCATTTTCAATACATCGCCAATTTGGTCGATAAACTTTCGCCTAGGACGTCCCTTTCTGACTCTTTCGTTCACTTCTGCAACATAACATTGCTTTAAATGAAATAATGTATTTCGAAATGATGTGATGGCTACCCGGTGATGCACATCTCGATGAGCGCCCGCAGCGTGGGATAGGTGGCGGCGGCGCGCTCGGCGAAGCCGTGCGGGTTGTGCGCCGCCAGCATTGTTAGCAGCAGCCAGCCGCGCCAGTACAGCGACGTGATGGCCAGCGCCGGCGCGCTGTACCTGCACACCACACCACCAGCTGCTTAACTAAATCTACTTACATTTTTACAATAAACACAATATATTCATTTATTCATTAAATCCTATCAAGTCCATGGCTTTGCGCCATCTAGCAGGCGAGTTGGCGATTGCAGTTTTTAGTTTTATGTGTTTTATAAGCAAAATGTCTTTACGATAGTTTTAACTTCCCGCTATGATATTCAATGATTTTCAAAAAATCCGGGATATTCTTGGTTTCACTCCAGGTTTCGAAAATCGAGCTGTCCATGTCTTTGGCTCGTGTAGACAGCGACGACCATGTGCGTTTCTACGTGTGCCTTTATAGGTCTCATAGTGGTAATGCCGACACAGGCCAACTTAAATTCGGCGTGGTGAACGTTAAAACGATTTTAACGTTCACCACGCCGAATGGCTCGGTTCACGTTTAAATCAAGGATTCCAGATGTAGAGGATCATGTACCTCCCTTCGACGCCTCTCTTGGCTCCTCAGATCATTGTCTAGTCTGGAGTGTGGTCTTTTAGGTTACCTTTTTGCGTTCTACTCGATTCTCCATGACAGGGGAACACATTGCCGACCATCCTGTAGTCACACAGACATGTACATACAGACATAGTGACATTCTCTATCTCGTACTAATTGTTAGACAGGTCCGAACCTTCAATACTGCCGAGGCGTTGAGGAGTGTTCGAATTTGTACCCCGGGCAGAAGAGATACGAAGTATTGGTAGGAAAGGACACCTGCGTCTCGGTCAGAAAGAGCAAGACCGGCTTCGCCGTTCCAGATTGTAGTGAACGGCGTTAAGTTCGAGTGAAGTCCCCTGATGTTGCAAAAGTAGTTTGCTGCATATTGTATTACTTCGACAGTGAGTGTTAAGTAAAAATTAATTATTAACAAAATGTAAAAGGCGACTTCAAAGAACTTAAAAGAAAAAAAAATACGTGTGGCACTCGGGGACTGCCGCGGTAAAGCTATTGCATAGCATTTTTATCAACTTATGCAATTATAATTATTTATTTATTTTATTTATGCAGTATTTTTTTTCTCTTTTATGATATTAATTCAAGTCTTTTCTTTGATATTAATTTAAGTTACACTTTGGTGACCGATGAGAAAACAATTTTTTTCTTTTATTGAATAAATGAGAAGTTCATGTGGTTTAAAATATTTTTATTATCCTACGATAGATGTAAGTTATTCCGGAATTTTTATCATTGAAACTATAGGTTTATGTTAATTAAAGAGTTCTTCCGACAAACGATAATTTTCTATAAAGTCTGTGTTTGTTAAATACTCTTAATTTAAAACGAAATTTGCTAGCATGACGACGACTCATATAAATCCAATGAATATGCTACTACCAATAAACTATATTATTGTTTAAAATATTTTTATTATCTTACAATACATGCAACTAGTCTACACGCATACGTCTAGTAGCACGCACACAAACACCGTGCCGAAGTCTGCCGAACTTAAACGACGTTAGACGATGTTAGGTTTTCGGGTCTTAGGGTTTTTTCCTTACGGAATTTCACGATTCGGTCGCCGCGCTCAAAGCCGCGATGAAAGCTATGCAATAGCTTAATAATTCACATTCTGAAGTCGGAGCTTCAATTCTTATATCTTTAATATTATATATAGATGATAACTGGAACATTCCTTATCGTTTTATGCGAATCTCTCTCCCAGTTTATACATCACAGTAGAAAATAGAGAAGTACTTACCCAGCGGGAAGTGTTATGTTGTCAGGCGGGTGGAACTGGCACAGTTGGAAGATGTAGTCGGCGATCTCGAGCTTGTCGACCTGAAGCGGCATGTCCTCGGCAGGGAGCGCACAGGCACGCCGCACTAACTGTTCCACCAGCTCGAACACCTCCGCCGGCGATACTGGGATGTCCTGAATATACAAGATACATTTAAAAATTACAAAATAAAACTTTTGATTTGAAAAGAAACTGACTTTTGAAAGAAATATTCAACAACGCCTCTTTTGAGAATAAGGGAGAGATGCGAGCACACAGGTGACCTAACAGATGTGGTCAGTAGACCTACATTTATCTTCGATTAAGTATCAAAATGTAGATCCGTCGTCACCCCTGAGGACTAAGGTATAATGGCTCGTCACCAGTGGTAGTAGCCGTATATAGTAAAAAAGGTCTTCGATTCTCTACACTCACTATACCAAACGAGTAACGAAGGAGTGTCAAATGGGCAAGCCGTGTATAAATCCACCCGCAAAACATAGGGATTATCCTACAACGGTAAAATCTCAGGGTGCACTTTATCGCGCTGATGAAGAAGAATAAGAATACTAATGATGTTCCCCCAACCCTGTTTCGTTAAAGTTATTTAACGAAATTGTTTAGCCTATTGACTTACTTTGGAAAGTCCTATGAATATGAGTCGCAGAAGAGTGTTCTGCGGCAATGGCGTCTCGCAGCACAGGCGGTAGGTAAGCGTACGTTCAGATTCCGGAGGCCAGTTGTCCGGCTTGCTGTACGTCTCTGCCGGCTCCACGAACATTATCTGTATCACAAAACGATGGTAATTTAATACCACCCTTACAATGTAGCTTAACATAGGTGATATAAATGTAATTAATAATTATGTACTAAGTATGCTCAATATATACTCAATAATATACTGGTATTTAACTTACTTTTTTATAGGATAAGGATGGCAAACGAGCACACAGTCCACCTGATGGTGAGTGGATGCTGTGGCCTATAGACATCTATGTTTAACCTGGATTTAGATTTAAAATGCAGATGCCTTGTTACCCTTGAAGACTAAGATAGAATGCCTCGATTCCAGTAAAACGGGTCTCTGGTTTTCTACACTCATCATACGAAACACAGCAACATTAAGCTTAGAAGCTTAATGTTTTTTTTACGCAAGTATTCTGTGAGAGCGTGGTCCTGCCCCATTTATGCTACAACCACAATATAGTTGAAGCGTGGCTCTACCACGTGTAAAAACTAATGTTACTTCAGCGTGAGGTCTCATTAGATTTTTGATCCCTTTATTATTGGTTATGATGCCGTGTAATGGCGGTATAAGTTAAAAATAAAAATGCTGCTGCAGCGCGCACAGCTGCTGCGCAGAGATATGCGAGAGCGAGAGCGAGAGCGCGGCGGTACCTTGTTAAGCGCGAGCTGGTAGTCGTGGCGCGCGGGCCGGTAGACGGCCGCGGCGGTATCCAGCAGCCAGGCGAGCGCGTGCTGCTGCAGCGCGCACAGCTGCTGTGCAGGGATATGCGAGAGCGAGTGCGAGAGCGCGGCGGTACCTTGTTAAGCGCGAGCTGGTAGTCGTGGCGCGCGGGCCGGTAGACGGCCGCGGCGGTATCCAGCAGCCAGGCGAGCGCGTGCTGCTGCAGCGCGCACAGCTGCTGTGCAGGGATATGCGAGAGCGAGTGAGCGCGCCGGTACCTTGTTAAGCGCGAGCTGGTAGTCGTGGCGCGCGGGCCGGTAGACGGCCGCGGCGGTATCCAGCAGCCAGGCGAGCGCGTGCTGCTGCAGCGCGCACAGCTGCTGCGCAGGGATATGCGAGAGCGAGCGAGCGCGTCGGTACCTTGTTAAGCGCGAGCTGGTAGTCGTGGCGCGCGGGCCGGTAGACGGCCGCGGCGGTATCCAGCAGCCAAGGCGAGCGCGTTCCGCTGCAGCGCGCACAGCTGCTGCGCAGGGATATGCGAGAGCGAGTGCGAGAGCGCGCCGGTACCTTGTTAAGCGCGAGCTGGTAGTCGTGGCGCGCGGGCCGGTAGACGGCGGCGGCGGTATCCAGCAGCCAGGCGAGCGCGTGCTGCTGCAGCGCGCACAGCTGCTGCGCAGGGATATGCGAGAGCGAGTGCGAGAGCGCGGCGGTACCTTGTTAAGCGCGAGCTGGTAGTCGTGGCGCGCGGGCCGGTAGACGGCCGCGGCGGTATCCAGCAGCCAGGCCAGCGCGTGCTGCTGCAGCGCGCACAGCTGCGCGCGCAGCTCGGCGGCCGCCTGCTGACGGCCCAGCGCCGCCGTCACCGAGCAGCAGCAGCAGAACAGGTCGGCCAGCGCCTGGAACGCGCGCTCCCGCACCTGCACGAGCAGACAAAAATCTTACGCCAGCGCCACATATAGTTAAATTAATAATATGTCATAATAACATAATTGGCCATGATAGCCTAGATAGATGATAAGCGCTCGTTGCATATTTTACAAACAACGAACAACCCGGATTTCTCGCCAGCACCTTTAAAATTGTTAATTAAGTGCTTATTTACCACGTGATTGGTGGTGAAGTAAAACGTCATAAGAAGACCTGCAAGATAAATCATTTCGAGTGCATGTACAGTTCGCCAATGCGCACTGGATTCAATAATCTATAAACATCTCAAAAATGTGAGGTGGCTTGTGCCGATGGTGGTTGGATGTATAAGGTCTGTCACTTACTTTTTACTTTTAAACTTATGCATTAAGGCTAAGAACTCACGGAGCGATTTTGAACCGTGCCCGCCGCGGTGGCGGAACTGCGGTTTTATTTCCAATCTCACGAGACCGGTTATTTGCGCGGTTACACAGCCGTCGCGGTTGAGATTATCGCCCGCAAACGTGGCGGGCGATGACCGCAAAACGCAAGACGGGCAGTTAACCGATCAGTTGAAGTCCAGACCGCCATGGACACACATCAGAAACGAGCTGTTGCGTTATACTTACTTCACAGAAGAATTAAAAAAAAAGACCCAAAAGGTTCTGGGTGCATCCACTGATTCAGGATAGAGATCGTTATGGATTATTTGTTACCCTTATTAGTGAATTAAAGGACGAAGAAAAATTCTTCAATTATTTTCGAATGTCCGTCTCTAGTTATTTAGAACTTTTGAAAAAAAAAATGGAACTGTTCTTCAAAAACAACATACTAACATGCGAGATCCTATATCACCGGAGGAAATGTTGGCAGTCACATTAAGGTATGTATGCTTATTTTAATAAAACAAGTAATAATACGTATTATAAATACACACCTGAAAAATTGGATAAATTACTATTAATTGAAGAGACTGATGAAAGATTTTGTGGACTTTGGGTATTGCTTTCAGGAGTAGATTGGTAAGAAGAGGTACGATAGCCGCAATTGTTATTACTGTTATTTTCTTGACCGTAATTATATGCTGTATACTGATGGATGAAAATGCTGGAAGATTATTATCAAGATTATCAATAATTTGTAGAACTGCTATTTGAAATTTTTCTTGTTTTTGCTTCATCAAAATTTTGCAATGAAGGTAAAATTCCACGAAAAAATGACAAATGTCTATCTTCACGCTGAGACAACAACTCTATTAATGCTTTGTCGGTGTCGTCCTTTTTTTTCTTTTTAGCAGTTGTTTGAGAAGAGACTGGTGTAGGTGTAGCAAAAGCATCTGACGTTGATGCAACGGTAGTAGTACTGGTAGTTTGTTGAGTTGTAGCAATGTTTATTAAGGTTGAGGAGGTATTTTCAATAGGCATATTTTTTTTTTTCAAAAACTGCAACGGATCATTATAAATGTATCGTTTGGTTTTTTTAGCTCCCGATCCAGATTTTGTTTCTGTTTCAACTTTTTTGTTGTTCTTCATCCAGCAATCTTTAATATTTTTCCATTTTTTAATTACCACGTTTCCTGAAAAGCATATTTATTTATTTCAGATACCTAGCTAGTGGAACTTCAATGAAAGATTTGCATTACACATTCAGAATTGGGCACACAACTATATCGACAATTATAAGAATAACATGTGAAAAATTATGGGAGGTGTTATTGCATGAATGTTTTCCGGTAATCACAACAGAAGTTTTAAAAGAAGTCAGCCAAAAATTTTACAAATACGCAAACTTCCCTCATTGCGTTGGAGCAATAGACGGGAAACACATAAGAATAATTAAACCAGATAACAGTGCTTCAACTTACTACAATTACAAGGATTTTTTTCATTTGTGTAATGGCTGTAGTTGATGCGGATTACTGCTTTGTTTTTGTAGACATCGGGGCCCCGGGAAGTAACGCTGATTCAACTATTTTTGCGATTGTTAACAATTCTATCAAACTACCCAATGAACAAATACTACCCGGATCTACCTTGCCACCTGTGCCATATATATTCATAGCCGATGAGGCATTCGGATTGGATCAAAATATAATGAGGCCTTATGGCGGTCAGTTTTTGAGTGTCCAAAAATGGGTATTTAATTATCGCTTATCTAGAGCACGGAGATACGTAGAATGTGCATTTGGCATTTTAACAAACAAATGGCGTATATTAAATCGTGCTTTAGATGTATCAATAACTTTATCAATTGATATTGTGAAGCCATGTTGCATACTTCACAATTTTGTACGAAAAAGAGACGGCCATCACTTAGGAGAAGAAGATTTTACTCACAATCTTGTGAGTATACAAACAGCTCAATCAATTCGCAGCGGAAGACAAGCCAATAACATAAGAAATGTTTTTCAACAATATTTTATGAGTGACAGTGGAGCCTTAAGTTGGCAATTGTCAAAAATTTAACGAAATAAATTACTAGTATAAATTATAAAATAAACTTTTAATATAATACTTACCATATACTTTTTTATTTGTCTCGTCCAAATTTTCAAAATCTTTATTTAAAATACCACATATTTCTTCCCATGCATTGAGCGTTAAATTCTTGTACTTATATTCTTCTAAGCTCTTATCCCATAGAACTGGCCTTTCTTGCACCAAAGTAATAAGCATATCGACTTCAATATCCATTTTGGCTAAGAACTCACGGAGCGATTTTCACCCGCGTCCGTTTATGTTTGTCGAACGAGCACACGCCAAATGCCGCAGGTCACTGGTGCAAAATGGCGTTGGATTTCTGTACCCCGCCCCACCGCCCGCCGCCTCTGCGCCGCTGCGATTGCCCGCCAATCGACCGCAGAGCGCGTGGGCGCAACCCGCCGAGGCTGCGGGTGACCGCGGCTCGCGCGATTCTACTAGTTGCCCGCCGCTACAGCGGGACCCGCAAACAAACGCGCAGACTGCGGGCGTAAAACGCGTCGTGAAATGTGCTTTAATTTTTTAATCATGTATATCTACACTCTACAGAAGCTGCGGGCCCGCAACCGCGGCGGACGCGGGTAAAAATCGCTCCGTGAGTTCTTAGCCTAAAGAGTAAAACAGAGGCGTTAAGTGTACTCGCGTGTGTGTGTGTGTGTGTGTGTGTGTGTGTGTGTGTGTGTGTGTGTGTGTGTGTGTGTGTGTGTGTGGTGTGTGTGTGTGTGTGTGTGCGCGCCTCGGGCGGCGGGTCGTGCGGCAGGAGAGCGGTGAGCGCGGCGGCCAGCGGCATCATCGCCTATCTCTCGGCCGCAGCGAGTGTATGTGTGCAGGGGGGGTGGCGGGAGCGCGCGCCTGTCTCTGTGTGTGTGTGCGGTGTGCGGGTGTGCGGGTGGTCGTCTATCTCTGTGTTGTGTGGGTCGTCTCGTGTGGCGTGTGTGTGTGCGCTCTAGTGTGTGTGTGCAGGTGTGGGCGGGTCGTGTGGGGGTGTGCGCGTGCGTTTTCGGCCGCAGCGAGTGTATGTGTGCAGGTACGTACCTCGGGCGGCGGGTCGTGCGGCGGAGGCGCGGCGAGCGCGGCGGCCAGCGGCAGCAGCGCCTGCGTCTCGGCGCGCGCAGCTCGCACGCACTCGCGCAACATGGCGCGCATCGGACGCAGGTAGTCCTCCGCACGGAACAGCAGCTCCTGCGCACGTACGCACCACATTACGCTCCTACGCAAGGGAGGCTGGCATTTGACCACACAATCCACCTGGTAGTAAGTAGATGCTGTGGCCCATAAACATTTATATCTATTCTCAATTAATATTTTTATGACAATGCACATGCGTTGTCACCCCTGAGGACTGAGACTTCTTTAAATGTATTTTGAAATTTCCTAGCTTACCTAGTGGTGAAGTATATTATTACAGTAGTTGGTGGCTGCATATTTGTAACAACATCTAAAAGCCGAGGAACAAAGCCTAGAGACACTTAATACTTCTTGTGTTCCTGAAAGCAATCTCAAAAAATCCAAAGTACAGATACTTTGGATTTTTTGTACTCAAAACACCTAATAGAGCGTCTCGCGGCCATCTCAAGGATGTTATTATCATTAAGGAAAGAGCTTACATGACCTCTTGGTGACACATCGAAACAGAACCTTACTAAAGCATTTTAAACCCGTTGAATAAGGTGTGCGGTGATAGCTCTAAATAAATAACTGGTACAGGGATAACAGTTTATTAATTAATTCTGATAAAAATATTATTAATCACACCAAAATAAATAGTAAATTAGTCACACCAAAACTCAATGATAAAGAAGTACCGTTCTCCACTGAAGTGAAGTACTTGGGCGTAACAATCGACCAAAAACTAACGTGGAACTCTCACCTTAGTAACGTATGCCATAAGGCATACATTGCTTTAGGTACGTGCAATCGTTTGGTCGGGAACAACTGGGGCTTGCGTCCCAGTATGGTCCTATGGCTGTACAGCAGCATAGTGAGGCCGATTCTTACCTCTACTGTCTGGTGCAACTAGGCCAACCAAAAGACGACTGCAGCAGACTAAATAGTCTATAAAGGACGGCCTGCTTAATGGCAATTGGAGCGAAGCGATCATCGGCTAGAGCGGCTCTTCATGCACTTTAATGCGTAACGGCTAGTTTGTATAGGATTAACGCCCAGGGCGGTTTGAGCTTGAAAAATGTATGTTTACCAATAACATGTCGAACAGACTCTGCTAGACGGCAACATGCATATAAGGCTATATATTTATGCAACAAAATTAATAAGTTAACAAATATATATCTCCCTTAACCAGTAGAAAAATTAAAATGAAAATTAAGAATTGGCTATTAGGATTAGATTATGAACAAACTGAATCGATATTAGTATAAAACAGATTAACAAATATGCAAAACAAAATTGTTTAAATCTTAAATTTCAACCACACACACGAACACACGCAACGTACGCGCACACACAGATTTTAAAATTGCTTTATTTACATAAATAATTAGCCGTCATTATATTAGGGAGATCACTGACTCTCGTAACACAGGTTTTCTAACCTAGCTCGGGAGTCAGAGGCTTAAATAATATTGTAACAAATTTTATGTCAATAAAGGTTATTATTATTTAAAAAAAGCTTGCTTTCCTATAGCTTGAGATCCATGCTCGACTCAATTGAGGAAACACCGGTCTTATGCATGATCTTAGATATCATGCGTCTAATATACACTTTTAATAGAAAGCATAAAGTGGAACTACTCTTCGGAGAAGACTAGTTGAATGACCAGGTTATCTGTGAGGTCGGTAGCCTTATATGTTATACTATACCGATGGGTCAAAAATGGGCCTCGTAGGCTTTGGAATTTATGGGGAATGCCCCAAATTCGAACTTAGTATGAATTTGAGTGGATTCACCTCTGTCTTCCAGACAGAAATTTTCCTTACGTCAACTATATAATTTATATAAACTCTGATAGTCAAGCAGCACTGCGCTGAGGTCAAACTTAGTGATCTCGAAGCTAGTTGGAGATTGCATGAACCGTCTAAACGCCCTGGGATGTAAAAACAGGGTCGTCTTAAGATGGGTTCCGGGTCACGCGGGTATTGAAGGCAATGAACTTGCCGATGAAATCGCAGGGGAGGATTCAAAGAGTACACAACCTGGACTCGAGCCATTTTGTCGAATCTCAGAAAGACTAGTGCCCTTGAAAATATCACAATAAATTACTTAAGATTGTCTCATAGGACCGTATTTGCCATAGTTGTCACGTTAGGCTAGCGGGTGGGCAACTGCAGATTTTTATTTTATTCGTTATTAGATGAACGCTGTTGCCCATCTCCTGTATTGTTTCCCTCTGTCGCTCTGTAAATTACGTGTTTGTCCGCGATGGACTCCTAAACTACTCAACAATTTTAATAAAATTTGACACCTGGTCATGGATAGGATGTTTTTTGCCCATGTGACCCTCATTTTTTTTGCGAATTTAAGGATTTTTAATAGGATATTGTCATATCGTCAGGATCGTCGAAAACGGCAAAACAACGTCGGCCTGGCAAGCTAGTAATTTATAAAATAAGTTAATATACGCGATAATATCCATAAAAAGGTAGTTTTATTTAAATGTGTAGTGTTCGCGTAAATATAAAAAATCATTAGGGTAAAGAGTTGTCCGTTCACGTAGTAATATAGAGGTTACATAGTAATGCAAGTGCAGTGCAGTGCACGTGCCTGGTAGGTCTCGGCGATGGCGGCGGGCACGAGCTGCGGCTGCGCGTGTATGAGCGCGGCCAGCACGGCCATGTTGTTGGGCGAGCGCGCGTTCGACAGCTCGTTGTAGATGGTGTGCGTCACCACGCTGCGCAGTAGCGCCGGACTCTCCGACACCATCTCCCTGCACAACACTCGCATCATTACATACGCATAACGCCCTTAAATGGACAACAAACTTATGTGCTTCATTTTTTTTCGCAAGCAACTTATAATAACTGATTATTTGATTAATTGCTTATAATTTTTTTTCGTTTTAACACTAAACATGACTTGTAAAAATTGCGTTAAGAAAAACATTATTTGTTGTTAGCTTTGAAAACGTTTTTAGCTATTAGTATGTCAGCTTCCTAAATTCAACAAACTTGCATTCTTACTTAACACAGGCTTAGGACTTTCCGAATATAATTTAAATTTTTTATATTAAGAGTCTTTAGTCTAATAGCTGTATTGTTATTAATAATCATCCTAGATGGCGCTATTTCAAAAATTATGTAAAATAATCTTACAGAAAAGTGCTGTTACATTATATTCTTGTCGTTAAAACGCCCATCTTTATGTATAATATTAATAACTTGAACAAGCGCGAAAAACGTTAATACGGTGTCATTTGAGGGGTAGAGCCATGTTACAGCTATATTATGGCTGCAGCTATGTTAGAAAAGTTGATGGATCGCCTTCTTGAAGCGTTCCTCGCGTGGTAGTGCCACGCTACAGCTATGTTATGATTGTAGCATAAATGAGTTGGCTTGACCAGTGTAGAACTGCAAAGCCGTGATAGTCCCAGTATATAAAGGAAAAGGGTCGCAGCAGGACTGTAAAAACTACCGTGGTATCAGCCTTCTTAGCATTGTGGGAAAACTGTATGCTAAGGTACTGATTGAAAGGGTCATGAAAGAAACTGATGAAAAAATTTGGGATGTGCAAGCGGGATTTAGAAAAGGAATGGGATGTTCAGATCAAGTCTTTTCCATGCGCATGATCGCGGAAAAGTTTTTGGCGAAAACCCAAAAGGTTTTTTGTGCGTTCATGGACTTGGAAAAGGCCAGAGTGGATAGGGATGTGCTATGGCAAACACTGAATTCATTTGGGTTGAGCGCTGGCTTGATACAGGCATTGGAGTCGATTTATAAGGACTCTAGTGCTTGTGTTAGGATCAACGGGGTATACTCGGACTAGTTTGGCATCCATAAAGGTGTCAGACAGGGCTGTGTGGCTTCCCCGTGGCTGTTCAACCTATTTATGGACAGTTGTTTGCAAAATTTGAAAGTTGAAGAATGCGGAGTAAGAATTGGTGAGTTAACCGTCAAATGCCTTTTGTACGCCGATGATCAAGTTATTCTTACGTCCTCGGCGGCCGCGCTGCAAATGATGGTTACATTAATGAACAGATCATTAAAAGAAAGGGGTATGAAAGTGAACGCAAGTAAGACGACAGTTATGGTTTTTGAAAGAGAGAAAAAAGTAAGACGATATGTGAAATAAGAATAAGAAGGGGAGTTAAGCAAGTAGATGAGTTTGTATATCTGGGTTGCGTATTTAGCAGGGATGGGAGATGTGATAAGGATATAGAACGACGAGTGAATGCAGGAAATAGAATAAATGGGACCCTACACTCTATTGTGAAGAGTCAAAATGTGTCAAAAAAGGCACGTATGGCAATTCACAATGCTGTGTTGGTCCCTACTTTAACGTATGGTAGTGAAAGTTGGGTGTGGCAGAAGAAGCACGAGAGTAGAATGAACGCAGTAGAAATGCGGTCGTTAAGGAGTATGTCAGGGCTGAATCTGAATGACAGGGTAAGAAATTGTGTAATAAGAGAAGAGTGTGGTTTGCAAGATGATGTTGTGACCAGGATTAAGGAAGGAATGCTTCGGTGGTTTGGTCACAAGGTGACAAGGAAAATATATGTTGCAGAAGTGAATGGCAGAGTCGGTAAAGGGACGTCCTAGGCGAAAATTTATCGACCAAATTGGCGATTTATTGAAAACGGGCCAAATTAGGAGTACCCTTAATCGACGAGCATGTATGAGTAGATGTATGGATGTGAAGGAGGCGAGAGAGGTGTGTCAGGATCGTGCCAAATGGAAGTCTGTAGTCTCTGCCTACCCCTCTGGGTGACAGGCGTGAGTGTTTATGTTATGTTAGAACTGCACTTAACCAATAAAGTTCAAAATTTATTATTATATATTAATTAGAGGTAATTTTTCTTTGGAAAGTGCGTAAAGCCATTGATCCTGCGTCAGATCAGATCTCCCCTATCAGATTATAATAGTGAGGGTAGTATAACATACACATGTATATTAGTACAGATTCGTCCACTATAACAGATAGCTAATTCCTATTCCGTGATGAGAAATTCGGTCTGGAGGCAATTATTATGTGAAATCCAGAATAATTCTTGTTTTTACTGAAAGTTGGATTGTGGGTGAGAGGTTCTCTCTCACCCACAATCGACTTTCAGCTGCTCAGCAGCAGGCTCCTGAGTCTGTCCGCATGACTGCGCCAGCGCCTCGTGGTCTCTCGCGGTCTCATCCGGTGGCGGGCGGCGGCCGCGCTGCTGCTGCTGCTTACTGACCTGAGGCAGCCCTGGTAGGCGATCTGCAGCGGCTTGGTCTTGAGGCGCATACGCGCGATCTGCGCCAGCACCTCGTGGCCACGCGCGGCGCTGGGCCCGGCGGCGGCCGCGGCGCTCCTGCGTCACAGCTGCACAGCTGCTGCAGCTTATTGATCTGAGGCAGCCCTGGTAGGCGGTCTGCAGCGGCTTGGTCTTGAGGCGCATGCGCGCGAGCTGTGCCAGCACCTCGTGGTCGCGCGCGGCGCTGGGCCCGGCGGCGGCCGCGTCCTCCTGCGAAGCTCACAGCTGCTGCAGCTTACTGACCTGAGGCAGCCCTGGTAGGCGGTCTGCAGCGGCTTGGTCTTGAGGCGCATACGCGCGAGCTGCTCCAGCACCTCGAGGTCGCGCGCGGCGCTGGGACCGGCGGCGGCCGCGTCGCTCCTGCGTCACAGCTGCACAGCTGCTGCAGCTTACTGACCTGAGGCAGCCCTGGTAGGCGGTCTGCAGCGGCTTGGTCTTGAGGCGCATACGCGCGAGCTGCGCCAGCACCACGAGGTCGCGCGCGGCGCTGGGACCGGCGGCGGCCGCGTCGCTCCTGCGTCACAGCTGCACAGCTGCTGCAGCTTACTGACCTGAGGCAGCCCTGGTAGGCGGTCTGCAGCGGCTTGGTCTTGAGGCGCCTGATCGCGAGCTGCTCCAGCACCTCGTGGTCGCGCGCGGCGCTGGGCCCGTCGGCGGCCGCGTCGCTCCTGCGTCACAGCTGCTGCAGCTTACTGACCTGAGGCAGCCCTGGTAGGCGGTCTGCAGCGGCTTGGTCTTGTGGCGCATGCGCGCGAGCTGCGCCAGCACCTCGTGGTCGCGCGCAGCGCTGGGCTCGGCGGCGGCCACGTCGCTCCTGCGTCACAGCTGCACAGCTGCTGCAGCTTACTGACCTGAGGCAGCCCTGGTAGGCGGTCTGCAGCGGCTTGGTCTTGAGGCGCATGCGCGCGAGCTGCGCCAGCACCTCGTGGTCGCGCGCAGCGCTGGGCCCGGCGGCGGCCGCGTTAGCGCACACATGCGCCAGCAGCTCCTGCGCCGCGCGCCACAGCTTGCCCGAGTGCAGCCACGCCTCTAGACGGGATGCCGCAATCATGCGGATCTGCCACGCAATACCACCACCGCCACTTTATTTATTTAACAATTTATGGAACAAGAAACAAGTTTACTCGTTGATAAAAGGCCGGCAACGCATCTGCAAGTAGTAACTGTAACTAGTAACTTCCTTGTAGTCACCGTAGTTCTATCAGATGAGCCGCATGCCCGTTTGCCTCCCTCTTATATGAAAAAACAAACAAACAACGGAGAAAATATATCATTATGGATAGTTTCCTTTTACATGGGCGCCCTTATTACAAAATGAATTTTTTCATAGAAGTGGGAGCAAACGGGGCGGCGGTCGACACTTTTCATCAGGTGAGCCGGATGCTCGTTTTCCATCAGTTCTAAAAAAATTGTCGTGAGAGGGAATATACTCCTAGTAAATTACACAGTAGTGGACCGCCAAACATTGAAATTATGTGGTTGGAATTTGGCGGCAGGTATTAATCGGAGCAATGCCTCCGAGCTCTCCCTTAGTAATTTCTTTCAGGAGGCCAATAATATATTATAATAAATAGAATTACTGTACTTTTGCCAAAGTCAATTAATAAGAAATTATTTTTAATAATAATTTGTTTTAAAATTTCTTTACAATATGTTGATTTCATACACTGCGAAGGTTTTGGGAGATTTTGACGGCAGCTTCAGCCAGCAGACAGTGGACGACGATAGTATATCAAGGTGTCAAGCACATAATAACTTGAGGCTGACATCACCATCGGAGCACTTGTTTCATCATTTCAACTAAGGGTTTGACATTTCATACATAAGATCGCACCACTTTTACATAGGATTCAAACGATAAAACATGAGCAGCAATCCACCGGCAGTGTAATATAGCCGCTAAAACTTCAACTCGTCATAGTATGCCGTATCGTCTCGTAGAAGACGAAAATATTTTCGAGCAGTTTCGTTTTAGTCTATTTTTTGTAACTTATTTGATTAGTGGCCGACTTCAAAATTAAAGAAGTTTTAATATAAAGTTAGATAATATTATAATAATAGTCAAACTAAAATATTAAACAAATTTACGTGGTAGTACCACGCTGCAGCTATATTAAAGTTCTTTTCGCCCCCTCAACCTGCGTGAAAGGGGGGGTGTTTTTCGTAACGTTAGTGTAGCACGAATGACACAGAATACCAGCTTAAAATAGCAGCGCAATGCTGCTGTGTTTCATATGGTGAGTGTAGAAAACTGGAGACCCTTTTTACTGGAATCGAGGAATCCCATCTTAGTCCTCAGGGGTGACAACGGGGTGACGGTGACAATTTTCATTTTTTGGGCCCAACAACTACTTGCCATCATGTGAACTGTGTGATACGTTGTCACCCAATGCTATAACTTTTTTTTTGCAATTTATTTATTAGTTTCTGAAGTCAGGACTGTAATTGTTATTCTATAAATTATGTCTCAGTACCTTCAGAAGATATTAGCAGTGGACTTTGTGGAGTTTCATAGGCTAAAATGAATGAACTAATGAATTTTAATCATAACTAAATTTGATTTTTTTTGTCATTAGTATCTTTTTCAATTTAATATCAACCAACAAGCACTCAAAGTAAGATGTTTGATGAAATATGCTACTACTACTAGAGATGAAACTTATTGTCCTGTCACAATTTGTTGGATATAACATCTTATTTAGACATATTGGTTATTTATTTTAACAAAGTTTTGTAGTATAACAGTTACCTCTGGGAAGCCGCAAGTAGCTGAGAGTAACTTAAGAAAGCCTTTTCCAATGGTGTCCGGTGCAGTGCGTCGTTGAATCTGCTCTTTTATCGCTTCTAAAACAAGCGCTTCCACAGTTTCGTAGCTGCTGGTGTATCTATAAAAAAACATTTATAAACAGTTCGAATTCATTGTAATATGTTAATAGTGGGCTTTAATGGAGAAAGTTATACCATTTACTGTTCATAATGAAGCCAAGAAAATTCATCGATAGAACTAACCTTGGAAACACAGAGTATTCAAGTTCAGTGTTGTCGGTATCTTCATCAGTGCTGCCCATCAGAGGTGATCCAGACCCTGATGGTGACATTGTACCTATCAAATTAAAATTATAAGAAGAACTTGATATAAAATAAAAAATTGAATATAAAACTAAAAATTCTCTATTCTGTTTTAACAATAATTATAAAAACAGATTAGTAAGAAATATTGAAAAAAAAAATTGTATCTTTTTTAATGGTTATGTTAATTTTTGACTATAGATAATTTTTCTAGTACCTAGTCTAACATCCTATTATAATGATTTCTCAAAGAGTCAGTAATTCCTTTTTATTAAGTAAAGAGCTATTCAAAATGTTAAAAAATACATTAAAATTAAATAATTAATATTTTTATATTTTATATACAATGTAAATTGTTGTATTAAAAATGTTTCCTGCTGGTTCTTACCAGTTTGACTTTTACCAACCAGCAGCGGTAAAAGCAAAAAAATAAATGATTTTCGAAAAGTACTGCTACTAGAATAAGATTACCTACTCTTTATTGAAAAAAATTAAATCCTTTCCTTATCTTACCCAGTGTATTATCAGTAGGTATTAAATGGGATGGTGGCTGCTTAGTACCAAAAGCTGTCACAATGTTCTCAACTAAGCACTTGCACCATGAGCAATCCACCCACCAACGCTCATTAAGAGCATCTTCTATGTACACCTGTTAAAACCCATTACCATTTTAACAACAAAATACAATTGACCAACGGAAACTAATTTATGCATATTCAGATGTTTAATCCAGTTACCATATTTACCATTTTTATTTAGTGTTATGCAAAATATTACATACGAAAGCTAGCAGTTATGGTACATATTACAATTACAATTCATTTTTTGTTGATCGCTTTTTGAGGCATTTCATCTTGGTCATCAAGAGTGACAGCACATCTGCATTCTTAATTAAAGACGTAGAAGATGCAGAAGATGTATGGGTCTACCGGCCACAGCATCCACTTACCATCGGGTGAACAGTGTGCTTGTTTGCCTTAAGAATTAAAGACCGATTTACACTTCGACAAGTACAGTAGCGAGTTTAGTTATAGGACAGTTGGCAGTAAACGGTTAAGTGGGCAGTAGCGTTCAAACAATGTCTTCGTGGCGAGTTTAGTTAAGGACATTAGTTCATAGAGTTCGTTGGAGTATGACGTTTCAAGACTACAGAATTTTTCCGGTTTTCGTTTACGATGGTTCTAGGATTACGTCAAGAATTAAATGATCTAGTCAGAGAAGTATTAATGGTTGTTGTTAAAGAAGTTTTTAAGAATTTTCATGAGTGCAGCATCTCGAGCAGGTTTAATTTTACAATTTTAACTTCTACTGTTATATAAACATTCGTGTTTTAAATATTCCTGTACAAATTTATACGTGATATCTTCCGTCCATTTTATTATTAAAACACAATATAAAACGTATAAATATTCAATTAACAGTATCGTATAAACTTTGTGGCGAGTTTAATTATAAAATTACAATTATACGTTTTGCACGGAAACGTTGCGTCCTGTCAAATCATGCACTAAACTTAATTCGCTCGTTTACACGAACGGCGAGTTTAGTTGCGGGTGGCGGGAGACGCGCGGGAGGGCAGCACTTCGTACTTAACTCGCCGAGAAATAGCTCGGCCGGCTATCCCGTTCAACTTAATCGTTAACTTGCTACTTAACTCGCTTATTGTCGTTCAAACGAGGTTCAAACTTAACTCGCCAGGTTCGCAAGTTAACTCGCTACTGTACTTGTCGAAGTGTAAATCGGTCTTAATATTTATTGAATATATGTAGGAAACAAACAAGTCAGTAAAACATACCTTAATGAAGGTGTCGGGCCAATTAGTGCTATCTTTATGACCAGCGTACAACATGTTACATGCTAGCACGAAAACAAGTGGATTGCCCTTGTTTTTAAATGCTGCTCCCTGCTCTCTCTTTAGCAGAGTGCAGAGGCTCTGCGTAACAGTCTCATGTGCAAACATATTCGGTCTAATCTTTGTCAGATACAGCATGCTCATACAAAGGATGATGTCTGGTTTTGAACGTTGAGATTTGAGTAAACGGATTGAACCGGTTAAAAGGCCCAACTGCAATGAAAAATACAAGTAAAGTTTCATATTATAATATGTATGTTCATGTAAGCCTAGCAGAAACAAATTAGTTAGTTGCAATTTTAATGTTTTATCACATGTGGTAAAGGAAAACATTGTGTTGGACATGCAAAAATAAAATATTTCGCAGACATGTGAACTTCACCGAGATGGACTGGAGCAGTACAGTGGATCAAATTGTCCACTCTATAATCCTCTTAAGCATGGCAGGAAGCCTGTGTCCAGCAGTGGTAGGCATTTAGCCTGTAACTTCACTTTATTATTTTATTTCTTCTTCATCTTCTACAAACACTTTTGCTTTTGTTGGTAATTAATTATAATTAGTTTATCCGAAATATAGATAGTATTGATAGCGACAGTATTAATGTCTACTATCACTATCAATACTATCTATTAAAAAAATCAAGATATCTATCTGTAGCTCAAAATGTGGTGATGCATTTTTGCAGATGGTAACACCATGTCACGCAGTGAAACTCGTCGCCGACAATGTGTACAATAATAGTGATGAGTGATCACTGTATAAAAATTTATAAGTTATGTAGTTGCTCTGTTATACAGAACTAGGTAAAATTGTATATATTTATGAATATATGAGTCTTTGATGCCTAAATTAGAAGAATAAATAATGCTATTGATAGACTTGCAATAGCATCAAAGGTATTGATTAAAATTTATCATGATAAAGTTTTTGCAGCGTAGAAATCTGCTTGGCTAAAAACTTGTCTACTTTAAAAACAAGGCTTTACAAATTTATAATGTAAAATGAACAAAAATATATAAATAAACACAAAGTCAACATACTAGCTTATCAGAGTTATGAGTATCCAGTGCTTGAAGAACATTTGGTACTAGGTCAACTGGCTCCACATCCAGTGAAGTACCACCAACTGTTTCAGCAGGTGAACCTATTCTGGACTTCTTGCTCGGTGGCTGGCTGCCAAAACCTGATGTTTCACGTTTACGTTCCACACCTTGATTATGCAAAAAATTTAAGAATAAATTTTTCATTACACATCTCTCAATTAATAAGTAAATAATCTAAGCAACTGTACCTACAGTTTAATCAGTAGGAAGCTTTGCCTTAATTTAAGAATATCATACAGAATTATATGTGGTAGGGCCATAGAATACTATCATACATATACTCAATAGAACGGGGGAGTGTGGGTGCCTGTGTAGCCACTAACATGTAAATTCACCCTATAATTGTCAACACATCTCTTTTGACATCACAGTCATTGCCTAATGTTTGTGTCAAGCGTTGCTGGGTACAATCTATTTAAAACAGTGCTGATTTATGTGATAATTACGAGTCGAAAAAACAGCGGGATGTGGAATTCGAATAAAAGTGGTAAAGCCCCTTGAGATAGTACAAAGAGCAATTCTTAAAGTATGCACATTCAAACCCTTACTTTCCCTTACGTTTCAGTTATATCAATCCTTATATCCTTACACCAGTAAGTTGAATCCACTTAGTCTTATATTTTGTGAAAATAAAGAAATGTGGATGTAACAGAATTTTACTGATACTGGTAAACCGGAAAATATTGTCGCTTTTAAAATTGCAATTGGTTAGTATAATATTTTTTGGTTAATTTTAATTTTGGGTAACATTGGTTGGCATAATATATATATATTTAACAGCTGTATATTTCAAGGTATGTTTCCCACGTTCCTAAAATAATTTATGATATATCCAATTTACAAGGCAGGTAAATGAGACTGTGTCCACAACTACAGCCATTCATCTCCAAGCTTATGGAACGCATAATCAATAAAAGACAAGTCAAATACATAGAAGGAAATAACTTTATTTATAAAAGCCAGTTAGTTTTAGACCCAATAAATCAAATAGTGATGCAGTGCATGAGGTTACTGACTATATTGTAAGTAATCTGGATAAAGGCAAGAAAACTATTGGTATATTTTTGGATCTTGCCAAGGCTTTTGACACAGTCTCCATTCCTTTATTATTACATAAGCTTGAATCTCTTGGAATACGAGGTATTCAGTTAAATTTATTTAAAGAATACCTATCAATGTGCCAAAATTAACAATCAAGTTAGTGGAGATCTACCGATTACGCATGGTGTGCCACAAGGCAGTTTATTAGGCCCAAGCCTGTTTATAATCTATATAAATGACCTCTATCAGCTCAACATCCCAAATTGTAAAATAATTAGCTATACAGATGATACTGTATTGCTATTCTCTGAAGACTCGGAGAATGTTTACAAAAGAGCATAATTCGGTTTGAATTTAGTTACTCATTGGCTGCAACAATATTCTCTTACTCTTAATGTCAACAAGGCACATTTTATCTCTTTTAGTATACGAAACTCTACCCAACCGATGCCGTCTCTTTCACTAGTAGCTCATAATTGCTGTAATAATAACTTCTGTTCATGTCCTTCTATTACTAAAACTGTTTCCATAAAATACTTAGGGTGAACATATACATAAGATTTGTGCGAAACTAAGAAAACTTAGCCTTATTCTTAAAAATCTTCGTCATGTGGCGCATCCCCAACTTATACATACTTAGCTCTTGCTCAATCAATCCTGAACTATTGTGTGGGGAGGTGCATCCAAATCGATCCTAATGCCCCTTGAGATAGTACAAAGAGCAATTCTTAAAGTATGCACATTCAAACCCTTACTTTCCCTTACGTTTCAGTTATATCAATCCTTTGGAGTACTCACTGTTCGTCAGCTACACAAAGAGATACATATTAAGAGCGTATATTCAAATATTCGCAAGTCAAAATCGCTCTGGAACGGCGTAATTTTGACGAACACTACAATGATCTCTGTGTGCGTGACTGCTTGAGGTGGGGCGAGCGCAGTCATATCTGGCACTTATCATCTTGATACTATAGGAACTAAAAGGATGAAATAATTTCCACATAATAGCTTATGAGGTCGGTGCTAAATCATAGTGTATATTATAAGAATTAATATCCGATCTAGCCCTGAAGCTAATATGTATAACTCATTTCTTTCTTTTAGTAAATTGAAGTCGGCTTTTCTTTTTTATTCTATTGAATAGACTAAGGAATGTCACAACGCCAAGTTAACAACTAGAAAGGGGTTAGTAATATATGTCCGAATTGAAAAATATGTATTTTATAAAATAGATTTCGTTTGATATACATTTATTATGTTTCATAATGTAAAGATAATTCAATAAAAATAACAATTTCATTGGTGTTGGCAGGGTTCATACCTGGGTTGCTTGTGATTACAGCGAGCACTTCGCCCTTGAGCTACCATGGGTCATATCTTTTTATTACTATTTTATAATAATGTTACCTCCACACTAAGAATGTTTCGTAGGTATATCGTGGGGGCAGTTAACATTTAACATAAGAACATAAATTTCACAAGAACAAACATCCAGACCCGGAACAATTATTTGTAGGAATACAAATTTTTGTTCCGTGCGGGAAACAAACTCGCGGTCCTTAGAGTTAAATTCATTTCTAAGCCATTCCGCCACGAAGCCGTCCAATATATTTTTTATAGTGATAAATATTTTAGTTTAGTTATATTGCTTATTGTTAAATAAATTTATAAAATTATTAATAATTCAATTAAACAATATCATTTAATAAAGTATCAAAGTAAGTGTTGTGTTGCACGTGCTATTATTTATTCTGTATTTGCGCCTTTATAGTTTCCAATAGTGTAGCCAGGTAAAATCGGGAATGTTGTTTTAAAATCGGGACAGTAAGTATTTTTGACACAATTCGCAATATTATGTTTTATAATAATTATTTAGAACTGATCAAAAGGACGAATAATTTTTCTTCCAAACATTGTTGCAGACTGAACTTTCTGAATAATATTATTGTAAAGATAATAATAAATATTATTAACTCACACTCATGCACTTCAAAAATCCCTTTAAAAAATGGCATAATGCAAATGGTTACCTCACACCTTGAAAACCTAGATAAAATCCTTACATTGAATGTATAATGTTACTTTATTTATTGGAAACAACAGTACCTACAAATGATTGAAGAAATTGGCTAGTGGAAGAACTTTTCCACAATTCTTTTGCATTTTACTAAATGTACCTATCTACACCACAACAACAGCAGCATGTAAGTGTACTAATTACTAGTAATATAATGAAATAATAAATGACCGCTGAATTAACGACATCGATGCATAGCACAAGGCTATAGGCATCAGGCAGTGAAAATAAAAACGACAGACTGCAGAATTCGCGAGGTTATTGAAATCAAAAAAAACATCCTAATTTCAATAGAGAAGATGACTGGGTGCTACCATCTGCTTGGGATCCTATAATTAATAAAATTAAAACCCAAGCATACAACTGCAAGACTTCAAGATACTATAAGTTCATACTGCATAGATCAGAACAAATATTAATAATTTTAATCTATGGTAACCGCAGTTAACTATGACATCTAGACGTTGAACATCTCAGTCGTGACCATGGATGCTGTAAAGTGCTCGAAACGTCGGGTAATTAAAAAGTTAAATATACGCGATAAAATCCGTAAAAACTAGTATTATTTAAATGTTTAGTGTTCGCGTAAATATAAGAAATCATTTTGATGTTGCCTATTTAGTCCGAGTTTGGTGGGAAATTATGCAAAGCAAGTTTTGAATGTGTTCGTAATCAATTTTGCTGTCAAAATGATCGATCGAAATATAGATCAAGGGTGAATCGGGACGTATCCCTAAAATCGGGACGTCGACGGGATTTCTCGGCGTTCAGACATGTGCAGTGTCAATCGAATCTTCTAGCGTTTCTGGTTTATAAATGGCATATAGGTAAAAAGTACGAAAATATCTACTTTTAAATTAATTTTATTTATTTCATTGAAAATAGTTCTTTTTTATGTGGTTTTAAGTATGACTTTGCTACATTTATACTTCTAATAGAAAAAAATAGATATAAATAATAGAAAAAAATCAAGAAAAAAAGTTGTAGTCGCCCCCCACTTCCACCTCCTGCCGGACATGCTTAGTTTTTTTTTTATAAATTTTTAAAAATTTCATTTTGAGGTTATGTTTTTGACTATAAACCTGATTTATGGGGGGAGAGAATTGGGTGAGGGAAGCGCTATGTAGCGCAGCCGAGGGAAGCCAGGTCGACGGAGCCCTGCTTTGTGGGGCTCCTACTTCTAAGTGGTTTACAAAAAAATAACCACAAAGGGGTTGGCGGGGTCTATTCGCTCGCTTCGCTCACTCACTTAACCCCGCCATCCCCTTCTAACCTAACCTATCCGGGTCGGGGTGCCCTAAGTCCCGAGCTCGCTTCGCTTGCTCTTGCACTCAACAAAAAACCAGAATATTAGCTTTTATAATTACTTTAATTTATAAACAATAAAACAAATAATGTAATATATAAGCAAACTACGACTCGCACAGGTGCCTGCGATTTGCTACGATGGGCGGGGGCTGCTCTCCCTCCGCGCCTACGGCTTTATAAAAACACTAGGAGTAGGGCAGACAAGACTATGTGGATTTGGGGCATGCTGATTTAATTTTAGTACAGATTCAATAAGATCTATAAAGTCAGGTTGCCTTTGCTCCCTCTACAACCATCTAACCTATTACAACTGAAAGTATTGCTAGGTGTTTAAGTATTAAATTAATTAATTGCCCAGACAGTTTTAAACAATTCAGAAATAGTACATAGTACATTGTAATAATTTCTTTATTGTTTATAAACATAATTTATTATTTCTATTAATTCCTCAAAAGGATCTCTTTTATTCTTTATAATTTCACTTCTCCATAAATATTCATATTTATGGAGAAGTGAAAAAAAAATATATACATAAATTCTCCATAAAAAAATATTAATTCAGTAAAATTTTCTCTATTAAAATCTATATATATCATTACCGAAATATCTTTTGATGATACGCCACTGAGACTCAATTCTTTGAGTGTGTGTGTCTTCGTCCTTGTCGCACATACACAAAATTATGTGTGCTATCCAGCTTTCACGGTAAAATGTTCTATCTTTGTCACTAATTGTGTTCAAGAAAATAATGTAACAACTAAGGACTAGTGAGCAATGCGAATCCTAAAACTTCAGTTTTAAGTGCTGAGTACATGTAGAGATGTGTATCTTAGTCTGTAAGTGTGAATATATTATTTTAGTAATAACTAATTATGTAAATTGGTACGATTTTCCATTGACATTTTAATAGAATTAGATACATAATACTTCTGAAGGAGAGCATCTAAATATTGAGCTGACACAAACTAAACTTGTTATAATTATAAAGAAGAGTTACAATTAAATTTCATAATAAAAACCTACCACTTGAAGAAGGCTTATGTATATTTCTCTTTTCGGCGTCTCTTGAAACAACCACAGTTGATTTGCTACCGAGAGCGAAGATATCCTGGGGATGCTGTGGTGCTTTACTTTTGCCTCCGCGGCCTGTAGATATTTTTCCTCTTTCCATTTTAGTTATCGTTAGAATTTGATCTCGACTCTAAAACACGACATTAACTGACATTGTAATGTGTCTTGATATTATACTCATTATGGACCTACGTTATTTTATTTTATTACCAAAATGCCGATTTGACCGATTCACAACAAACTAGAGATGATCGATGATTATCGATGTTCGATGATCATCGATGTTAGAAATTAAAACATCGATGTTTTAACATCGATTTTACCACACCTTAAAAATCGAAACATCGATGTTGCTACATGTCAAACATCGATGTCAATGAACCAATAACCGATTGATAAGAACTTGTGAACAATGCGAACCCGCAAAATTAATATCAGCTAAATATTTCATCTCCTATTTAAGGTTTAAAATTTTGAATAATAAAGGATTCCTAAATGCATCGATAACCTAAAAAAATATCATTATGTTGTGTCAAACTCCCTGTCAATTTTGAACTGCAATGTCACAGTTGTAACTGCTTTCGGTTTATTGGTGTCTTTTCAGTTATCGCCTAATAACTATTCTACCTAATGATGATGACATGACACACGATTTTGAAACAATATAAATCTACACAATTTAATTATATTTAGCTGTTTTTTTGAGCTTAGGATAACAAGTTTATTGTTTGCTTGAAGTTTATGAAAAGAAATCACTGGGCGATCGTGAGCGTAGACAATTTCACTGCATAGTGCATTCCACAGTGCATTTTATAAACGGCTGTGGATACTTACTGCTTGGGCTGCCTGATTAAAAATTTCTGAGAACAAAGGTGATGGAAAAGTCTATTATTTTGGTTTTGTGAAGTTTGTTAATTTTCCTTCTATAATAATTTTTTTTTTATTCCGCGATAAGAGTAGTTAATATAAAACCTACGTCTAAAGAGATGGCTGACAGAAATTCCCCTGGACAGCCTTGACGAGAGACCAGAATGCACGGGTTTCAGAAGGAAGGCAAACTAGTTTCTCGCCAATTCTGCCTATGTGCTCTGACTTTGCCTTAGCAATGACTCTTTTGAAGGACCTAGAGGCGGAATTATACTTCTTTTTTAGAGCACTGGTGTTTACATTCCGGGACGTTGATGCGTCAGCCCAGGCTTGGTAGCACTCCTGCTTACAGCATGATGCTATTTTACAGGAACCACCAAACCATGTCTGAGATTTGCCTCCAATGGGCACCACAGAGGAAGGAATAAAAAGTTCCATACCCTGAAGTACCACATCAGCGACAGAATCCGCAACAATGTTGGGATCGTCCGGCGAGAAGAAATACAAAGAAAAAGTAAATTATGATAGTAATATTTTTGGTACCGGATTTATAATTATATAATAATTGTATATATATACACAACATGTAACAAAAATCCTGTGGTTCCCGTTAAGTGTGCTATCAGAATCAGTATCGAAGCTTATAGATATAATTTAATTTTTTTTCAAAAAACGCATTTAAAAAAATTTATTTTACTGAAAAAAAAAATTAATTTGCACATTGTGTGGTTTTATTTCCTCTAACTCCCACGAGTACCGGTAATGCGGGGTGTTTGATAATCCTCTTACTCCTTGGCCAATGTAGATATAATGAAACCACATACAATTTGGAAATTAATTTTTTTTTCATTAAAATATTTTTTAATGTGTTTTTTTTGAAAACAATATATTTCTATATGCTTGGATACCGATTCTGATAACGCAGTTAACGGGAACCACATATCTATATATATATATATATATATATATATATATATATATATATATATATATATATATATATATATATATAGAGATGGGCCGAATATTCGTATTCGGCTAAATCACCGAATATTCGTTAAAGTGGTACTCAAAGTATTCACTGTATGGGAATGTACGAATTGAGTAATGCCATGTATTTCATCATTTTACTGTTGAAAGTATATTTATTTATGGGTTAAATCTACTTGTATAACGATATGATATAACAATATGTTTTTGTAGATTTATTTCCAGTTATAGCTAATAAAAAGTGTGATAAAACTTTGTTTGGAATCAAACAAAGAAACATTACATTACAGTCGTCAGAGTCTCTAAAATTGTTCCAAATAGTAGATCTCTTGCCACTTATTTTCACCACATACTTTCTATCAATTTTCGCTAAGAATACTTTTTTCTCATAAAAATAGTCAAAACATAAGCATATGCCGGCAATTTGCTCAGTACTAAATGATGCAATAACATTAATGGTGGTTAATATAGCGCATAGCGCCATATTATAGCGCGCTATCTCTCCATAACGCATATTTTTGTATATACCATCAATATTTTTTTAATACGCCTTTAATTGATTTATTATTTAGATTAAGGTTAAAATAACGTTTACATCGATTATCGATAGTCGTAAGCCTGAAAAGTATGAAAGAGTGTTCATTGTTTTTTTCTTTACCGATTTAATTTATTTTAATCTAAAATACGACTTATTACAAAATAATGTTCTTATATAGCATGCGGTCTATCCAACGAACGACATGTAATGTAGCGTGCTACGAGGTATAGCAAAACGCTTTCTTATAAATAGCGCGCTATATCATAGCGTATTTAATAGCGCGCTAGAAATTTATAGTTTAGTCTATAGCGTGCTATTGATTTATAGTCGTTTTGAACAATCTTAAATAACATGTCAGGTGTGGCGGGAGAGCAAGGGGAAGGCTCTGGCGGTAATCCTGCGCGCTTTACGGTAACAAGTTTCGACATAAATTGGTTAGGTAGGTACCTCGGTAATCCTGCCGAATAATGTTCGGTTCGGTAAAAATTTTACCGAACGTTCGGCCGAATATTCGTATTCGGTGAAATCCATATTCGGCCCATCCCTAATATATATATATATATATATATATATATATATATATATATATATATATATATTAAATTACATTTAGATACAAATTACATGAATAATATTGTTACGAGCTTGAGGTTCGTGACAATAAAAATTGCCGATAAAATTACCTAAATTAACACTTTAATTTACTTTACACAATTAAAGTTAAAACACTAATAATTTAAACACACTAATTCACTTAATTCCACTCCGAAGCTTCGCTTGTTTCGCCCAAATCAACACTGCCTCCATCGCATCTTGCAGCGCCTATATATTTAAATTAGCAAAGAAATATCCAGAATGTTCAAGTAAACACGCGGAAGGTATCGAGCGTTCGAGTTTCGACTAGGCGCTGTCAGTTGAGCGATTTGTGATGTCATTTTCTCAATGCTCCCCTCGCTCTCGTTCCTGACACTAGATGGCGCTAGTTGACTTATTCATGCAACACTGCCCCCTCCTAAGACATGCTCGTCCCGAGCATTATCGGTCCCATAATAACGCGCCAAGCGATCCACATGGACGATCTTAGGAGTCCCTCTTGCGCCTTTCTGTATCCGGTAGGTCACATCGTTGATCCTGGTTACAATCCGGTACGGGCCGTCCCATTTAGCTTGAAGCTTAGGAGATTTCCCTTTGCTGCGGACTGGATTGTGCAACCACACAAGTGAACCTTCGTCGAACCCTTTGTTGTTCATTTTGCGGTCATACCGGGTTTTCATTTTTTCAGACATTTGCTGGCCCGATTGTCTGACGTGCTCATAAACGTCATTCATTTTTTTCCGCAAGTCATTTGCATAATCGGTTATACTGCGTGGAGCATCGGGTGGTATTCCGGTGATCAGGTCTGCAGGCAGCCGTAATTCTCTTCCAAAGTTTGCGAAAGCTGGTGTCACTGCTGTACTTTCGTGAACAGAACTTCGATATGACAACAAAAACGGTTGTATGTGCTTGTCCCAATCTCGTTGCCGATTGTCTACAACTTTTGCTAGGTACCTCTCCAATGTCTGATTAAATCGTTCCACCATTCCATCAGATTGCGGGTGATAAGAAGTCGTTCTTGTTTTATGAGTACCCATAACTCGGCAAGTTTCCTGGAATATTTGAGACTCAAAATTCCTTCCTTGATCGCTGTGAATCTCTAAAGGTACTCCAAAACGACAGAAGACTTCATGAACTAGTTTATCTGCAACTGTTGAAGCTTCTTGATTTGGAATGGCGAAGACTTCTGGCCACTTAGTGAAGTAATCCATCACAACCATGAAATACTTGTTACCGCTTTCACTCTCCGGAAACGGCCCCGCCACGTCAATGGCTATTCTCTCCCATGGTGCACCAACATTGTACAACTTCAATGCACCTCTACTACGAGTCTGAGGTCCCTTTACAGCCGCACAACTTGTACATTTGCGACACCAGTCCTCGACATCGTTTCGACAGTGGACCCAGTAAAACCGTTCTCGGATCTTCAGTAGAGTTCGTTTAGGGCAGCTGGATCGAAGATGGCCCTTTTCCCCACAGCCATAGCACCTAGGGCTGTATCCTCTGTTGCGGTCGCGAACTGTAGCTGCTGCAACCTCCCTGATGCGATGGGAACGATGATCCTGCCGCACGGCTTCCACCTCCAGTGCATGGGCCAAGGCGTTCTTAAGCGTGTCGTGGTGCCCGAGTCTCACAGCAGCTCTGACTTCAAGGTCGCGGATGCCGTCGATGAATGTCTGAACCAGGTTCCCTTCAATGAGCGCAGGTACAGACCGGTAAGCTTTTCGCACCAGCTTCTCCACCTCTAGAGCCCACTGCTGCAGGTTTTCGTTGATGCGCTGCACACGATCTTTAAGCTGCGCACGAAAGACGTGTTCCAGGTGAGCGTCGCCATATCTCGCCTCCAATGCCTCAAGAAGCTGCTCATAGGTCACTTTCTTACCGAGAGCTTCCAACACAGTTAAGGCTTGGTCGCGCAGGCCTAGGGTGAGTGCAGTCATGGCTTGGCTTTTATTCCAGCCGTTCGCCTCCATGACGGCCTCGAACTGGATTTTGTAGGCCGACCAGGAAGAGGTACCGTCGAACGGTGGCACCTTGAACCCACGTAGCGAAGGTGTTGTAGCTACTACGGGAGCTGTAGCTCCATCTCCAAGTTTGAGTTCGTCCAGTGA